AAAGAGAAAAGCAGAAGATGATGATAAAGCAAATAAAAAGCATAAGAAGTATGTGATCAGTGATGAAGAGGAAGAAGATGATGATTGAAGTACAAAATGTGAAAACATTTTATATATTTTATTGTACAGTTTGTTTTATAAATATGATGTAAACATGAGTTATTTTGATTGAAATGAATTGATTTGCTTCCCTGTAATTTTAATGTAATAAAATTTTTTTAAAAAAACAAGTCTTTGTTCAAGAAATCGACTTTCCCCAAGATGAGTTGGTTTTGTTAATGGTGAGTCCTAGGTTTTAGTGAATTGCTGCTGCTCTGCTGTACCCGGTCCCTCCCACAAAGGAGCCTCAGGGGCAGGACCAGATGAGGCTAGTGAGGTAGTCTTCTGGGGTACAGAGTTTGAAGGGGCACCCAAAAGTCCATAACTGGATGAGTTTGCTAGGGCTGCCATAACAAAGTACCACAAAGTGGGCGGTTTAAGCCCACTGAAATGCATATTCTCTCAGTTCTGGAGCCTAGAAGTTCCAAATCAAGTTGTTGGTGGGGCCATGCTTTCTCTGAAGGCTCTAGGGAAGAATTTTTCCTTGCCTTGCCCTAGCTCATGGGGACTCCCAGCTATCCTTGGTTTGTGGCAACATGACTCCAATCTCTGCCTGTCTTCACATGACTTATTTCCCTGTGTCCTTGCTCTGTTTCCCTGTATCTCCAGGTCTCTGTCTCCCAGCTGGACGCCAGTCAGTGAGTTCAAGGCAAACCCTAATCCAGTGTGACCTCATCTTAACCAATTAACATCTCTAAAACCCTATTGCCAAATTAAAATCACATTCTAAAGTTTTGGGTGCCTCCGAATTTTGGGGGATCCCAACTACAGTCACCAAGATAAATAATAATGTAATGCGACATTTAAAAATTGGCATTAGTGACCCTGGCTGGTATGGCTCAGTGGATTGAGCACTAGCCTGCTAATTGAAAGGTCACTGGTTCAATTCCCAGTCAGGCAGGGCACATGCCTGGGTTGTGCAGGTGGGAGTGTGTGAGAGGCAACAGATCGGTGTACGTCTCACATGATTCTCTTCCTCTTTCCCCCTTCTCTCTCTAAAAGTAAATAAGATCTTTTAAAAATTTAAATTAATGTAAAACCCATGATGAACAAAATGTCAACATTTTGTGTGAAGACAGGATGCGCTCAGTCTCTGCCATCGGGGGGTGCGGTTGACACTTGCCGTGTCTCTTCACAAGACTTGGAGGATACAGTGGTTCCTGCACAGGAAACAAGCAGAACTGGGCCACTCCCCAATGGACTCAGATGAAAACTTGCCATAAGATCAGGTACGACAACAGGAGGAGACATTGGAGCAAAACTAAGCTGGGTCTTTAAGGAATCACACATGAGGTGGCTGATGTGTGGTATCGGGTTGCTTGCATCTTACCATGTTACTGCTACCTGGACAGCGGGGGGTGTTATATTGAGAAATTATTGGAAGAATGATTTTTCTCCTTGTCACTATGCTTCTGCACTACTAGGCTGGTTCAGTGATCCATGTGTGAGACCTTTAAAAAAGGATGGGTTGTGACAGGGCCGGGTTAGAGTAAGGAAGTGAGGTCTCCTCGAGTACAGCTGGCTGGGTTCCCTCTACAATTCTGATATTTCATTCTTTCTTTTTTTTTTTTTTGGCTTGGAGTTTAAAAAATACTGCAGTATTATTTATCTTGATTACTGAGATTTTGGCCCCCCTCATATTTTTCACCCAGCGGGAGTATCTCACTTGTTGCATCCTGGCCCTGGCCCTGCTTTCTCCCAGCACGGTGGCTGGGTTGCAGAGGTGAGTACCACAAAGGAGCGCGCCGGGTGAAAGCCACGTTGCCTTTTCTTGGTATTTCCTTTTGTGACTAGCATCAGAAGTCACGTAGAAATCTACATTCTGTTCATTGGAGTGAGTCAACAGTGCGAGTGCATAAGAAGCAAAGCGTGGGGAGCTTGACACTTCTTGATGGTAGGAATGGCAAGGAATTTGCAGGTGTGTCTTAAATCCACCCCCCGCACTTGCATGTCTTTTCTGTGGCTCCTTCATAACACTGGTCCCTCGCGAGTGGACTGGAGCTCCCTTCCTTCCTAGAGCTCTTAGTACAGTCGGTGTGGTGGCTGTGGGAAGCTTATCAAGTTTCAGAAAAGTGACATCAAGACGAAGGTTCTGGCCCTGGCTGGGGTAGCTCAGTGGATCAAATACCAGCCTACTAATGAAAGGGTTGCCAGTTCAGTTCCCAGTCAGGGCACATGCCTGGGTTGCAGGCCAGGTCCTCAGGAAGGAGCCTCCGAGAGGCAATCACACATTGATGTTTTTCTTGCTCTATTTTTTTTCCTTTCCCCTCTGTCAAAAAATAAATAACATTTTAAAAAAATACACACTGCGCCCAAAATGAGCTCGAATTATTCTGAACTGTTGTAAACTGCTCTTTAAATAAATACATGTGACTGAGTCCCTACATGTTGGGAGTTCAACGGTATAACCAGAGTTCCCCAAAGTAACTTTGAAGTATATACAATTTTTGTTTAAAGATAAATAATATGCTCATATGAATACTGCATGTTATTAAAATAACATTCAACTGTAATTGCAGCAAATGTAAAAGTGGAGCAACAAAAGTTTTGCTTCAGGAAAGAACCTTGTGTCACTGACGTTACTTAGAATGGCTGGCTACCTCTACTGAGCAGTTCCAAGGTCGACCTCTCCCACCTGTCCTGTTCTGGACACCCCACTGTTAGGGGACAGTTTTTTTATGAGTGTCTCATACTTACTGTTTGGTGAACTGAGGCACTCACTTGTTTCTAGACTATCTTGCTAAGAAGCATAGTTTCTTTTTGTCTCTTCAGTCTTTTCAATTTAATTTAATTTTTTTTTTTTTTTAGGGAGTAGGCACTTGGGTGTCTCTCATCTGCAAACCCACCTAGTAGGACACCAAGCCTGGCAACGCTGGGGCCAATCAGGTTTCAGCTTCGCCAGCAGCCCCCTGTTAGGGGGCGCCACAGAAAGACTGGCAGCCTGCGTAGCCAGGACAAGATTGCTCCTTCCTGTTTGTTTATGGTCCTTTCCGGGGTTTCCTGTTGCCTTGCAGGGGCCAGCACTTCTTCCCCCCTGGAGAGGCAGTTCCCTCCCACGGCGGCCGGTCCGGTGTGCAGACTGCTGGCGCCTGGGGGGCCAGCTCCCCGCCTCCCCTGAGCTCCCCCTGAGAGTCGGCAGCACAGCTGGGCACCCCCTCAGGTAGGAGTTAGGTTTAATAATCCCCCCTCTTTGTTCCCTCATCTTCGGCCTCCTCCGAGTCTGCTACTTTTGTAACCCCTTAGACTTCTTATACTTTTGGAAACATAATTAACAACTTTAAACCTAATGGTGTTTTCTATGAATTCCTGTCTGTACAGACAACTGGTATGTTTTCTGTTGCTCAGCTGGGACCTGCCTGCGTGGCCCAGGAAATAAATCCTCAAAGATGAGATTTGGAGATTGGCTTGGGTTTGGCCACAGGTCTGGGCCCCCACCAATGGGGACGGGGGTGCTGGTGACCCACCGTGTGCAGGGGCACCTCCATGGATCCAGTCGCTCCCTTGGGGCTCAAGGGCTGCTGCCCTCATTCAGCAGGAACTGCTCCGTGGGATGGATACTTCTAACTGCTCAAAGCACTTACTGAAGAAAGATCGCAAGCTTAGGTCTCTTAGCTGGGCAGCTCGAGGCCTGCTCAGAGAAGCAGTGAGCTTTCGCGACAGCCCTAAAACAATCTCGTACTCACAGTCAGGGGGCTCTAGTATCTGGAAAGGCAAAGGGCACTCGACAGTGCGCTTGCAGAATTACCTCGCCCACTGAATTCGCAGCCTCTTCAAGTCTTTCATGAGAAGGGCCATTGGAGTGAGACAGAAGCTGGGGTGGGGAAATCTGGACTCGATGAAGCTAAAATACTCAAGTTTCCTGGTCACTCTGAGCCTCCCTGGCCTGTGAGACGCAGCTCGCCCCCCTTGTGCTTTCTGAGGAAGCTAGTCGTTCCCGTTGGAAAACGCTAGAACAGCATCGCCTGGGTTGGTCTCCACTCTCGGGACTCGTTCAGCCGAGCACTGTCTGAACCACTGTTTACTGGTAGACCCATCACTAGGGTATCAGCACTCTGGCAAAGAAAGCGCACACAGACTAGAAGAAATAGCTCATATACCAAAAGAATTACACAGTTTTGCTGACAAATACAGGCAGAAACCTGGGGAATATGTATGGAAGTGGATTCTAAGAATTCGAGGTGCAGGGCAGACTGTAACCCTAGTCTGGGCCCAATTTACCAATCTGGTTGCACTTGAATATTCTGAATTCGATGTGTTAGTGCGTATAGCTGGGCCTGGCTCTATACGTGGATGGTTAACTGCAACAAACTCAACAGTTACTTACCTCCGTTAATGAAGCTGAGATGTCAAAGCTTCCCTGGCATCATGTGGAGGGACCCCAAAGGCGGAGGGAGGACGGACTGTTGGAGAACACACCTCCTGTGAGTGGCATACCACTCTCCCCTTCTCAAACCACACCCGTGGAGGGCCAGCTGAAAACAAGCACTTTCTGTAACTCCCAGTGTCTGAGGGCCAGAGGCAGCTGAGCAGGGCGGTGCTGCCAGCTCAGGGTCTCTCCGGGCCTCTCCCAAGGCTGCAATCAAGACCTTAGGTCCTGCTGAGACTGCATTATCTAATGGCTTGCCTGAGGCTGTTTCCAAGATGGCTCGCCTGGCTCCCTGTGGGAGGCTCAGTTTCTTACCACAGCCTTTACACCAAGGGAGCTGGCTTTCTCTAGAGCAAGCGACTCAAGAGAGAAAGAGTGAGGCAGAAAAGCCACAGTTTGGGGCCTGGCCTCGGAAGTGAGGTGGTATCGATCACAAAACCACCCAGGATCCAGTGCTGGAGGGGACCCCGCCAGGGCGAGGACACCAGAGGCAGGAATTGGGAACCACCTTGAAAGCTGTCCGTCACAGTGGCATTGCCTTCATTGCCTTCCGCTGACCAAATTTGTCCCCTTTCGTCTCTATAGACACTCTCACCAGGCTTCCGAGATGGAGGTTAGGCTTGTCGAGTTTTGGTTAATGGATCTTGGGAATATGTTGAAGTGATAGTCTAAGAATCATGTGAAGGATTTTTCAGAGAAATTAATGCTGTGCATTTCCCCCCTACACTGAAGATTGTAGCAGAGCCATGGATTTGTTTGGAGACATAGACGACATTTCTTCAGAGAGTGACGATGACAGTCAACTGCTCATTCCAGGACAGCCTGCTGTGAGTACAGTCACTAACCCGCCTGGTCCCACTGTTCAGAGCGAAGAAGAGATTCCCAGAGGCTGACGGGTCTGACTCCCTCGTGTGGGGGGGCACGTGGGTAACTGAGTGGTGTTCTGAAACTTCCTATGAATGGGTGACTTTCTTAGCTATGCCGAGAATTCCTGGGTATTAATGGGCAAAGAGGGAACTGCTTGGAATGCGGTTGATATCAAACTTTAGGGTCTAGACTGTGAGGACTCAAAATTTAAAAACCTTTGATTTCCAGGTTATTCAGACCTATGTAAAAAGTGTGTGCTATTTGATATTCTTCTCTGATCTTTATAGTTACTTAACCTTGAGGTGTTGCATAATTTCACACTTCTGTTGCTATCTTACGCAAAGTAGATATGTCAGCAAAATAAAGTTTTTTTAAAAGATTTTATTTATTCATTTCCACAGAGAGGGGGAGGAAGGTAGACAGAGAGGGAGAGAACCATTAATATGTAAGAAAAATATCAATTGGCTGCCTCTTGCACACCCCCTACTGGGGACCTGGCCTGCAACCCAGGCATGTGCCTTGACTGGGAATCGAACCAGTGACCTCTCAGTTTGCAGGCATGCTTCTTAACCCACTGAGCCACACCAGCCAGGGCAGAATAGACAATTGTTTTCCCTGGTAATGAAGGCTACTGACTCTAGTGGATTTTGTGGGGTGCAGGGGGTGAAATTTTAGGGAAGGCCTGGAGGGGTTGCTGACTGCTTTATCCCTAAACCCGTGTCTAAATGTACTTCCGGTCAAACCTGTACCAGTCTGGTGTCACTTCAAGCCCTGACGTTCTGATTCTTCTCTTAGGATGTACACAGATCGCCCCAGGGCCAGTGGGAGGAAGTGCCGATTTCTGAAGCCAGGATGGAAGTAGAAATTCCCCATTTCGACCCTGATTTAGGAAATGAATTGTACTTTGTTAAGCTACCCAAATTTCTCAGCATCGAGCCCAAGTAAGAGAACTGATTAAAATTTTCTTTTTACTCAAGATACTGAATGAAAATATGTAAAATGTAAATGGTTTTGCTTATTTATTATGAGCCAGCTAATTGCAAAGATGGGTGATTTCTCATGTAACTGAAAAAAATAAGTTTAGGGTGTTCTGTGATAGAGAAATGATGGATTACTGGTGTGAGTTTAAATGCTAATGCTTCTAGCATTTTGGCACTTTCTTATAAATAAACAGACATCACAGGCGATAAAGGTATCAGAAAATGAAAGTAAGTTTGCTAATCGCGAATGTTCAGTACAAAGGCCATCGTGAATCTAGAAAAGACAATGACTTTTGGACAACGAGATAGTGTTCGGGATGATTTACACAGGCACATGAATGTAGCTCTCGTGCAACTAAACATGACAGTTTTCTTTAAAAATACAGAAATATACATCATGTGTTACCTGTATTTTAGAAGACATTTTTGTCAAGCAAAGAAGACTTTGAATTATAAGTCATGTTTGGAATCTATTTCATGTAATATATTTTAAAATCAAATTTCAAGAATGTATAGTAATTTTCATATTTCCTTGAAGTTTTTACATGAAGTGATCGGTCTACTGTGATTCTTCAAACATATTGGTACATGTTGTAAAGATTATAATTTATAGTATTAATCATATTTATTACTAAATGTGGCTAATATGATATTAAAAAACAATTTTTAGACCTTTTGATCCTCAGTATTATGAAGATGAATTTGCAGATGAGAAAGTACTTGACGAGGAAGAAAGAACCAGGTTGAAAATAAAGGTACCAGTTCACTTAAATCCCTTTTTTTTTGTAAGCTTTTCCTTTTATAAAATACAATGGAGGCATAACTAACTTGAGACTGGAGCTTATGAAATGATCTTTTATGCAAGGAATAAATGTCTTTAGGGGAAAAGGTATATCGTCTTTTGTTTACAATGTTTTTATTAATTTTAGAGAGAGAAGAAGGGGGTGGGGGAAAGAGAGAGATGAGAGAGAGAGGAAGAGAGAAACAGAAACATTGATTTGTTGTTCCACTTATTCATCCATTCGTTGGTTGGTTGTTGCATGTGCCTGACCAGGGATTGAACCCACAACTTTGGCGTGTGGGGACAACGCTCTAATCAACTGAGCTACCTGACCAGGGCCATCATCTTTTTCTAATCTCTGTAGAATTGTCACTTTCTAACCTTTTATTTGTTGTTGTAGCTTTCTGACAGAAGTAAAGACAAAAATTCTTGAAAATTGTTAGCTACTATTTTGAGATAAATGATAATGTAGTGAGGGACAAGGTACTGCCTGCACGTGTTATAGGGGATAGATGCTAGTGACTTCCCACAGCGGGAGTGTCTCAGGTCCTTTATGGACATTCAGACTGGGCACAAAACGAGAGTCCCTCTTGGGAAGGCCTGGGACGGTCAGGCACGACCGTCGCCCTCACAGCGCCTCACACGCGCGTCCGTCGGGGCTCCCGTGGCAGCCGTGGGCAGGATCCACTTCCAGGCTACTTCTGTGACTTGGAGTTCCCTACCATATGGGTAGGGTGAACGTGAACTAAAAAACAGGGCAAAGCACAGATCTTAGGTTTGAATTGTTGTTAATTCCTTGTTTATTCTTTGAAAATATTTTTTAATGTAATGCCCAGAGCTTTGTTGTCCTATTAGTCGAATGGGTACTTTTTTAGCCTTCTTTCATTGGATTCAAAGCCCTTCAAGTGGCCTTGCCACAGGTGGAGGTCTCAGCCTCAACTGCCCACCTCAGGGGACCCAAAGCCTCCTCTTCTCCCCCTCGGAGCTCTCAAAGTGCTGATAACAGCTCCGTCCACCTCGTATTTAGCTTCTGCTGCCACTGCTATCTGTGAACTGGGGCTCAGAAGAGATTTCACACAACATCTGGTTGGTTTAACCAGTACCTCTAGGTCTTTGTGGCAGGAGGGTGTCAGTGTGGCCCGATCAGCTGTTGTTCGTAAGCTCGTTCCATCACTGCCCATGAATTCTTGGCACGTGATTAGAAGTCGCTTGAGGGCAAAAACATGCAGGCCCATCACGCGGGGTTTCTAACGCCTTTGCGCTGGGAGCCAGGTGGAGAACACTATCCGATGGAGGGCGCGCCAGGATGAAGCGGGAAATGAAGTTAAAGAAAGCAACGCTCGGATCGTGAAGTGGTCAGATGGAAGGTGAGCACCAGCTGCCTGCGGAGGGAGCCCTGGGTCGCGTGTGAGGTCGTCTGTGTAGGACCTTCTTTTGGGGTCATGTTTTGTTAAACCGTGAACAAAGTCTACACCTCTGCCATCACCTGGAAAAGCTGAGAGAAAAATGGGGCGGCAGCCACAGTGCTGTGCACGAGGTGGGACTTGAGGACCGGACCCCGACGTGGTTCGGTTCAGGGTGTCTGCCCGCGCACGTGAAGCCGCGTGTTAGTTCCCATGTGTGAGCTATTAGATATTTTATACCGGTGTGTTTTAAAAAGTTGTTTGTTTGACTAATGAAGTGTAGAGACTGGGAAAATGACAAAACAACTGTATTTCCAGTGGAAAGGAGGATGGATTTTTACCACCTTCTGCTTTGAAAGGAGACAGATTAGTGATTTACAGTGTTTTTTCTTAGGATTTCAGCATGAGGACGGGGCCCTGCGCTCCCACAGCATTTTAAGTGAGGCTGACGGGGTGGAATGGAGGCTGCAGGACTGCTTGACTAGCCACCCTCATAACGGACCCGTTTCTCATTTCCAGCCTGTCCCTGCACTTGGGCAGTGAAGTGTTCGATGTCTACAAAGCCCCACTGCAGGGCAACCACACCCACCTGTTTGTCAGAGAAGACACCGGCCTACAGGGACAAGCCATCTTTAAATACAAACTCACCTTTAGGTAACTATTCCTACGGGTGCATTGCTATTTGCAGTTAAAGAGCCACAAGGGAGAGAGGTATGCAAATGCCCTAATGACCTGATTTTGAGGTGCAGTTCACCAAGGACCATGGGCTGGTTCCCACACTACTTTTCCCCGCTGCTGCAGTGGCAGTCTCCCAGGGGCCCGGTTCATGCTGACAAACCACCCTGAGAAAGCTACATAAACCAGAGGGCCACGGTAGTAATTCGCCTTGATCAAGGCGCCTCAGAAGAGGCCTGGAAGGCATGTTCATGCTGCTCTACTGGTCAGCATGTGCTTTCTCTGTACCGAAACTTACCTGGGAAGCGAACAGATCATGAGAACATTGGTGTGTGTGTGTGCGGTCGAGGAAAGGGAAGAGCTAGACGGTGCAGTGCTACAGGCGGCTGCCCGACCCACGCAGTCAGCTGCTCAGCGCTGTGCCCGCCCGTGCTCCGGCCCCTTCCCTGCCGCAGTCCGCTCCTTCCCACGCCCTCCCCCTGACGGGCACACCAGGCAGCTGTCCTGGAGAAGTGCAGCACTTTAAGACTGTAACAATGCGCAGAAGGCTTTTCTGAGGAGATCGTGGAAAAGCTCTAATATCAGATTGCAGTAATGGTCGCCAACTGTGTAAATTAAAAATCATTGAGTTATATATTACAGTGGGTGAATTTTATGGTGTGTAAATTACACGTGATAAATCGTTGTTCTGTTTTAAAGACGGTACTGGATAGCTCAGCGGTGCTGCTTCGCATCCGTCTGTGGAAGCTGGAGGAGGAGTCTCAGCCTCACTAGTGTTTACTTTCCTCGTCTGTAAAATGGAAATACAGCATCCGCCTCCCAGGAATGTTGTGTCACTTCAGCTCTGGCCAGGCGGTTCACTTAGGTGGAGCACCATCTCTTACACCAAAAGATTCAGGGTTCGGTTGCCAGTCAGGGCACATACATAAGTTGCAGGTTTGATTCCCTGTCGGGGCGCATACGGGAGGCAACTGATCCATGTTTCTCTCACATATTGATGTTTCCCCCCCTCTCTTCCCTCCCTTTCCTCTGTCCTTGAATCAATGAAAACATATTTTGGGGTAAGGATTTTAAAAAGCATCCTGTAGTGCAGAGACCTCGCACAATAAATGTTGCTCAATCCGACCTCCTGGTGACCTCCTCCACAATGACGTCCTAAGAGACAAAGGCTTCTGAGAGTGTGCCATTTTCATGGTGCCCCACGCTCCCCGCTGGGACAGCTCTTCACTGTCCAGCACGGTTTCATTCCTCACGTCCCATCTCTCACGGCCACGCCCTCCTTCAGATGCTCTCTCTGAAGGACCATCCTTTCTTTGCTATGATGTCCTTAAAAATCTCCCCTCCTTCAGGCAGGAGGTAGTGCTTTCTGCACCAGGGCCTCCTGTCCCATTTTGGTCCCCCTGAGCTGTCACGAGGCCCCCACGCCACTATGACCTGCCTCCTCGCTTTGACTTCCCTTTCAATTTTATTCAGACGGAGGGGCTTGTCTTTAGTTCTTAAACTGTGCCTTTTCCAACCTCCGCACCTCCCTCCCGGAACTGAGATTGCATAGCCCTTCTCTCCTGTGATTGTAGTGGGGGTTTTCTTTGTAAAAATCCTGACCCTGCCACGGGCCTCTCCTCCTCTCATCCCCCTCCCATTTCACCCCATGCTGTTCTCCAGCTGGTGGGCAGAGGGAGAAACTTCTCTGGAGGCAGAAGAGAAGGGAGGTCCAGAGGCACCAGGACCCGCGCACCGCCTCCCTGCTCTGCCCAAGGAGAGGTGGTCATTGTCTGCAGCTGTTCGTGTGGTACGATTGCCTCCAAATGTTCTTAGTCGCCAGACTTTCTTGTTCACGTCCTGCAGACCTCACTCTACAGACTATGCCACACGTAAGAAGATGACCCTGCCACTCACTAATATATACTCAAGAACACAGAAGATTAGAATCTTACCAATAGCTGGTCTCGACCCCGAATGCCAGCGCACAGAGAAGATTAAGGTACGTTGGCTAAGCTTTATCCTGGGATTTGGGGCATTAATAACTGTATTTTGCAGAATACTAATTCACCATTTTTATTGCCATAGTCAGTTTATCTCCTGTAGTTATCAGGGAGCCTTCTGATGAGTGGTTACCCACCGGCCGCAGGTGAGATACTGCAGATCAGGCGCTTTCTCTCCGCTCTGAGATTTCAGAGGAAAACTGGTAATTTCTTTTTAAGATGACGGCCTTTGGCAGAGGTCACAAAATTGTGTTAGCCTGATAAGAAGTGATTCAGGAAGGTCAAAAGGACATTCCTGACTCCTTCGAAACTGGCCCTACCTTGTGCACCCCAGCATGTGGAATGCCAGGCAGATGGATGGGGAGGAAGCCTCTACTTTGGGGCTCAGGGACCCTCCCCCACCCGCACCTCTCGTCAGCAGGTGCTGTGGGGAGCTAGCTGTCCGGGTGGAGGGCCCCGCACAGGAGTGTCCGGGCTCAGCGGTGGTGTGGTGGGGCCTGGGCAAGTCAGGTGTGTGTGTCGGGGTGACAGAAAGAGCCTCCCTCGGGCGTCTGCTGGGCACAGGTAGCGTTGCCGGGCTGGTCGCTGCTCTCCGGGCCCTGCCTGGCCGCACAGGGGACGCTGTGGCCCCCAAGGCTGTGCCCGAGCCAGTTCTGCTGAGACGGTGAGTGTGGGGAGCATTCTGCCTCTTCGCCCGCGTGCGGCCTTCACGCCCCAGAAAGCAACACGGCGGTCACTGCGTGGTGACAGGTGCGGCATGGAGAGAGTGGTTCTGACAGAGGACATAGAGTGGAAGTAGGTTCCAGTGGGCACAGAAGCGGTTCCTTTGTTAGGTTCAGTGATTTCTTTGCTTCTTTACAGAAAGAAGAAGAACGTTTGCGGGCTTCTACTCACCAGGGAACAATCCTCCTGGAGCAGCAGAAGCAAGAGGGGCCAAGGGTCCCCAACCAGGAGTCCAGCAGTGACAACGATGATGATGACAATGACAATGATGATGAGGAGGAGGAGGGAGAGGAGGAGGAAGAAAGGGATGAAGCCATTAAAAACCAGTGCTTCGGGGAACTTGGAGGTGAGTAGGTGTGGAGGTAACACTGCACCTCGGAGCCACAGGCCGGCTGCCCCGCTGGGCTCTTTGTTATTCCCCAACCTGCTGTTATTTACTCACGGCCACAGTCCAGAGGTCTTTTTGTTGGTTTGTTTTTGTTAGGGCCACTGTCCCACTGTAAAGCCAAGGTGGGAAAATAAGGCAAAAGAAAGAAAATGAAATAATTCTGTCCTTATGGAGGAAAATGTGTAACAGAGGCACTTTGCCTTCTTGTAAAATTAAGGACCCAACGGTTAAACTTGGTAGCTTGAAACACAGTGTGTGCTTCAAGCCTCTTTGGTGTTTAAACATGATCAGTCTGAGAACAAAACCTCTCCAGGCTAAATTATTTCAGCATGTCTGAGAGCTACACAGGGGTGGGAGGTGTGTGTGCAGTTGTGTGCGTTGCAGGGCTTTGATTATTCCAACAGCCTCACTAACCCAGAGACTGTCACGGTGGCGCGGCAAGTGCAGCGACGGGCTCCTAAGTGCTCACATCGCCGGCCTTCTTCATGCACACATCCTGCAGTCCACTTGCTACGCAAAAGCACACTTTGGCACAGAGTGCTCACCTACTTTTGCCCAGCCCTGTATAGAGCTTCTCATCAAAACTTTGAAAAAACTGTTGATTCATCAAGAAAACTTTGAAAAAACTGTTGATTCATCAAGGAAGAATGCGCAGTGGGAAGTAACAACAGCCAGCAGGAGAATTCAGTAATAAAAGGGTCTCCATCTGGGAAGGTCCGTCTCACGTCTGTAGTTGCTTCGCTTTCAGGGGAACAAAGTGGAATCTGTTCATCAGACAGCGACGCGGGATCAGAGGAGGAAACAGCTCAAGGGTTACTGAGAATGGAGCGACTCTCCAGTGATGAGGTAAAGGCACCTTTGTTTAGTTCCCGAGGGTTTGCTCTGTACCCAGGAGCCAACGTCTAAAGAGCAGCCCAGAGCCCGGGACACATCACCAAGCCTAGTGAGTGACAGCAGTGGCAGGACTGGAGCGGCCCAGTCCTGTGCTCGGGCGGGTGTGGGGCACGCCGCCGGGGTGGGCGGGCCAGGGAGACGGAGAGGCCTGTGAGAAAAGCTGGGGGCCTTACCCACCAGGTCTCGTCTGGAGAGCGAGGAAGAGTTCGGTGAGGAGAGCAAGGGGTCCGCCATGCTCACTGTGGTAACTGGGCGTCTTTGTTGTTTAGGTGTAACGGTAGTGGAGACATATTTCATTTCCATGTTTTTTAAAAAATATTTTAATTGTATGTTTCCCATTACTGCTCATGCCCCTTATAGCCCCTTCCCCCAGCAATCAGCACACTGTGGCCCATGTCCACGGGTTCCATTTCCTTTTCGCTCAACCCTCCACCCTTAACCACCTCCACCTTCGACAGCTGTCAGCTTGCTCTCCATCTATGAGACTCTCTTTTCCTTGTCAGTTCAGTTTTTTTTAAGATTTTTAAAATTTTATTTCTCTTTAGAGGGGAAGGGAAGCAGAGAGAGAGAGAAACATCAACGTGTGGTTGCCTCTCATGTGTCCCCTGCTGGGAACTGGCCTGCAACCCAGGCATGTGCCCTGACTGGGAATCGAACTGCGATTCTTTGGTTCACAGACCCCTGCTCAATCCACTGAGCTACGCCAGCCAGGGCTTGCTAGTTCAGTTTGTTTATCAGATTCCACATAAAAGTGAAATCATAAAGTATTTGTCTCTCTGACTTATTTCACTTAACATAATGTCTCAAAGGGTAAAATTTTTGGTTTTTTTTACAACTGAGTAGTATTCCATTATGTAAATGTCCCATAGTTGTTTTACCCACTCACCTACTGCTGGACACTTCGGCTGCTTCCATATCTTGGCGATTATAAATAATACTGCAATGAATACAGGGGTGTTTATGTTCTTTCGAATTAGTGTTTTGGGTCCCTTTGGATATATTCCCAGAAGTGGAATTGCTGGGTCAAAAGGCAGATCCATTTTTAATTGTTTGAGGTATCTCCACACTGCTTTCCAGAGTGGCTGCACCGGTCCGCATTTTTATGCTATTAAAATATTTTTTCTTTAGCCCTGGCAGGTGTGGCTCAGTGAATTGAGTGATGGCCTGCAAACTGAGAGGTTGCTGGCTCGATTCCCAGTCAGTGCGCATGCCTGGGTTGCGGGCCAGGTGCCCCAGTTGGGAGCATGTGGAGGACAGTGCAGGAAGCAGGTGATTGAAGCATCTCTTGCACATCGATGTTTCTCTCCCTCTCTTCCTCCTTTCCCACCTCTCTAAAAATAAATAAATAAATAAAGATATTTTAAAATTTGTATAAGGGAGGTATTCATTTTCACTCATTCATAAAAATATATATTTAAAACTTTAAGAGGACATAAACACCAGCAGTTGTTTAAAAAATCAATAAGCTTTAAAATACTGAATTTTAGACAGAGAGAGTAAAGTACCAAGGAAGCAGAAGGGAGTATTTCAAGACACTGATGGAAATATCAGTGAGCGCAATGAGAAAAGAGTGTCCCTCCGGCCATGACCACCTCCGGGGGGAAGGGCGGGTTTCCTTCGCCAACCCGCTAGACACAGTGTCTGCACACACAGGTCGCCAGTGGGGGGTCATCGAGTTCTCAGGTGAAGGTGGGCTCTCCTCAGTGAGCTCTGAACCACTTTCAAAAAAATGTCCGGAAACGTCTGATAGTGAAGTTTACCTCTTACCTCTCATGTTTTTTCAGGGGGCGAGCCCTCCAGAAATAGGAAAGCAGGGGGAGAAGAGAAGGAGGATGTCGGAAGCTTGAAACGTGCGCTCATTGTCTGTTTTGTTTTGAACAGTTTGTTTTAAAATAATGATGAAATAATTTGTTTTGTTTGAAGTGATTGAGTTGCTTTTGTAAATGCCAGTTGTGAATAAAGAATGTTCAGAAGCAAGTCCGTGACCTTAGAAAATTCACTTTGTAACTGTTTGCTCTGGGTCTTAGTTTCGTGTGCCTTCTTGCCATGCGGGCTCATCCGGGCCCTGGTGCGGCCCAGAGGTGAGGTGGCGTTTAAGGCTGATGTCTCCTCCTCTTGGATGTCCTCCCTGTTCTTTCTAGCTGGGTTCGGATTCCTCAGTGCTCTGTTATCTCTGTTGGCATGGCACTAACTTTCCATTGACCACATGGCCCTGTGACCTTCGAAGATCAGGTTCAGCAGGGGAGGGCTCACTGGACTCCAGGTGCTTTGCCAGGTGCTGTGCAGACCTTACCAACTCTAATCCTCAGAATGACGTGAAGGGCCAGGGCTGTTATTCCAATTTTACAGATGTGAAAGCTGAGGTGTACAGAAATTAAGACTGAGCCCTGGCTGGTGTAGCTCAATGGCTTGAGCACAGGCCTGTGAAGCAAAGGGTCGCTGGTTCGATTCCCAGTCAGGGCACATTCCTGGGTTGCAGGCCAGGTCCCCAGTAGGGGACACATGAGAGGCAACCACACATTGATGTTTCTCTCCTACTCTTTCTCTTTCCCTTTCCCTCTCTCTAAAAATAAATAAATTAAAAATTAAAAACCCCACAAATTTAAAAAAAGAAATTAAGACTGGCCCTGGCTGGTGTAGCTCAGTGGATTGAGTGCCAGCCTGTGAACCAAAGGGTTGCTGGTTCAATTCCCAGTCAGGGCACATGCCTGGGTTGCGGGCCTGGTCCCCAGTAGAGGGCATGTGAAAGGCAACCACACATTGGTGTTTCTCTCCCTCTTTCTTCTTCTCTTCCCCTCTCTCTAAAAATAAATAAATAAAATCTTTATTTTAAAAAAAAGAAATTAAGACTGCTATCCAAAGCCTTTTCTTCTCAAGTAAAGAAAAATTATCTGGTTCCCAGGTATGTGGGCTTGTGCACCCTCCAAAACCCTGTGGGTCTCTCCAACAAACTCTCCAACAATCATCATTTTTGATGATTTTGAAGTCATTTTGAAGTCAGGATCTTCTATGCACAGCCACAATGCTTAGCAGGCACATTAGTGACCTTATGGAAAAAGACACCCAAAATACCTACATGACATAAACAGCCAGCACAGAGCAATGGGAGACAAAACATAAGATTTGGCTTCTAATTTCATGACTGGTTTAGTAGCTGGAACGTAACAGGTACCTAGTAAGTATTTACTGAATGAACAAACCATCAGTGATATATTGGGCAAGTCACTCAACTTCTCTGATGTCAGTGTCCTCAAATCAGTGGTGTTTGGACTTGAACATGTAATACGTCATGATTTAATATTTGTATTTCTCTACCTTTGAGGATTAAAAATACTAATTAGATGTTTTAAAAATGTTTTATTGCTAACTAGCAGAAAACATGGATTTACATTATATTTCCCTCCCTTTTATACTTTAAGAATAATTTTAGCACTAGCTCTCAAAGGCAAGTTAGAGATTCATCAAGGACACTGAGAGGTACTAGCACAATTGTAAGTTTAGCTATGCTTCCCCCCATTTTTCATGTTTTTATTTAACTATATTTTATTAATTATGCCACTACAGTTGTCCTGATTTCCCCCCCTTTGTGCCCCTCCACCCAGCATACCCCCCCCCTCGGGAAATCCCCACACCATTGTTCACGTCCATGGGTCATGTGTGTAAGTTCTCTGGCTACTCCATTTCCTATGCTGTACTTTACATCCCCATGGCTATTCTGTAACTACCTATTTGTACTACGTTTTCTTTTTCTTTATTATTCAAGTACAGTTGTCTCCATTTCCCTCCCACACCACAGCCATCCCCACCTCCTACCCTCTATCCTGTTCACCTTCTACTTCTTTTTTAAAAAATATATTTTATTGATTATGCCATTACAGTTGTTCTATTCCCCCCTTCATTCCCCTCCACCCTGCACACCCCTCCCCCACCATTCCCCCCCTTTAGTTTATGACCACGTGTCTCAAGTTCTTTAGATTCTATATTTCCCCTACTATTCTTGCCCTCCCTCCTATCTATTTTCTACCTACCATCTATGCTACTTATTTTCTGTACCTTCTCCCCCCTTCTCCTCCTCCCATTCCCCTGTTGCTAACCCTCCATGTGATCTCCATTTCTATGGTTCTGCTCCTCATCTAGCTGTCCTCTTAGTTTGCTTTTGTTTTAGGTGCGGTTCTTAATAACTGAGTTTGCTGTCCTTTCACTGTTCATCTTTTTTATCTTCTTTTTCTTAGGTAAGTCCCTTTAACATTTCATATAATAAGGGCTTGGTGATGATGAACTCCTTGAATTTGATCTTATCTGAGAAGCACTTTATCTGTCCTTCCATTCTAAATGAAAGCTTTGCTGGATAGAGCAATCTTGGTTGTAGGTCTTTGGATTTCATGACTTGGAATACTTCTTTCCAGCCCCTTCTTGCCTGTAAGGTCTCTTTTGAGAAATCCGATGACAGTCTGATGGGGACTCCTTTGTAGGTGACTGTCCCCTTATCTCTTGCTGCTTCTAGGATTCTCTCCTTCATTTTAATCTTGGCTAATATAATTATGATGTGCCTTGGTGTGTTCCTTCTTGGGTCCAACTTCTTTGGGACTCTGAGCTTCCTGGGTTTCCTGGAAGTCTATTTCCTTTGCCAGATTGGGGAAGTTCTCCTTTATTATTTGTTCAAATAAGTTTTCCACTCGTGGCTGTTCCTCTTCCCTTTCTGGTACCCCTATAATTCAGATGTTGGAACATTTAAAGATGTCCTGGAGGTTCCTAAGCCTCTCCTCATTTTTTTGAATTCTTGTTTCTTCATTGTTTTCTGTTTGGTGATTTTTTTCTTCCTTCTGGTCCACTCCCTTGATTTGAGTCTCAGTTTCCTTTCCATCACTATTGGTTTCCTGTGCAATTCCATTCATTTCAATTAGTTTAGCCTTCATATGTTCCTCTAATTTGTGACTAAAATCAACCAGTTCTGTGAGCATCCTGATCACCAGGGTTTTGAACTGTGCATCTGAAAGGTTAGCTATTTCTTGGTTGCTTAGATTTATTGGCTCTGGGGCTTTGAGCTTTTTTTCTGCTTGAGCCATAATTTTTTGGTCAGGTCGCACCTATTACGTATGAGGGGCAGAGCCTTAGGTGTTCACCAGGGTGGGGCAACCCAGTCGCTGTTTTGTGATGCTGTATGTGGGGGCAGGGTCAGAGAGGGGCAGTGGTGCTTGTTCCTCTTTCTCTTGGATTTCTGTCCCCTCTGCTGCTTCCCACAGGCAAACTGGGCCCTTCTGATGCTGGTTCCCAGGTATATGGACTTGTGCACCCTCCAGGACCCTGTGGGTCTCTCCAACAACTCTCTGTGCGCCTGGGAGCTTCTCCCGGCACCTTGACCCCAAAAGTCTTTCCAATTGGTGCTTTCAGGCTCTAATTCCTGTTGCTGGGGCCCTGGCCTGAGTGGTCTGTCTCACTGCTTGCTTCTCCGCCTGGTTTATCTGTGTGCAAATGTGTGACCACGGTCAGCCTGCCACCTTGCGCCCTCACTGGGTCTGCCTGTTGCCACCCCACACCTGGGATCCGCCAACCGCCACCTGTGCTCCTGCCTCCTGGGTCCGTCCACTGATCTTGCCTTCCTGACCCGCTCTGCCGCTGACTCCGCCCCTCTTACTGGTCTGGATGAGCTGTTCGTTGTTGTTGGACTTCTGCACAGTTCAATTTTCTGTATTTTGGCTGTGTTTTTGTTACTAAAACTTTGTTGTCTTTAAACTTGGTTGTGTGAGGAGGTACAGTATTTCCACCTACACCTCCATCTTGGCTGGAAGATGCCCTATGATTCTAAATGATAGCTTTGCTAAAACAGTCACGGCTTATAGGTCCCTGCTTTTCATGACTTTAAATATTTCTTGCCAAACCCTTTTAGCCTGCAAAGTTTCTTTTGAGAAACCAGCTGACAGTTTTATGGGAACTCCCCTCTAGGTAATTAACTTCTCTTCTCTTGCTGCTTTTGATTCTCTTTTTATCTTTAACCTTTGGCATTTTAATTATGATGTGTCTTGGAGTGGGCCTCATTGCCTCCCTCTTGTCTGGGACTCTGCTTCCTGGACTTGTACGTCTATGTCCTTTGCCAAATTAGGGAACTTTTCTTTCATTATTTTTTTAAATAGATTTCCAATTTGTTGTTCTTTCAGTTCTCTTCATGGCATCCCTGTGATGTGAATATTGGACCTCTTGAAGTTGTCCCAGAGGTGTTTATATTATCCTCATTTTTAATTTATTTTTTTCTTCTTGTTTTGTGTTGCTTTTTGCTTCCTTATGTTCCAAATCATTGATTTGATTCTCATCTTCATCCACCATACTGTTGTTTTCCTGCATATTGTTCTTTATTTCAATTAGTGTATCCTTTGTTTCTGACTGGGTTTGGTTTTTTTTTTTTTTTTTTTTTATGTTGCTGAGGTCCTCACTAAGCTCCTTGAGCATCCTTATAACCAGTGTTTTGAACTCTGCATCTGATAGATTGCTTTTCTCCATTTCATTTAGCTCTTTTTTTCTGGAGGGTTTTTTGTTTTTGTTTTTTTTAAAGATTTTACTTACATACATTTAGAGAGAGAGGAAGGGAGGGAGAGAGGGAGAGAAATAGCAATGTGTGAGACATACATGGTTGCCTCTCACATGCCCCCAACCAGAGACCTGGTCCACAACCCAGGCATGCGCCCTGACCAGGAGTTGAACCCTTTCGGTTTGCAGGTCAGCATTCAGTCCACTGAGGCACACCGGCCAGGACTTTTTCTGTAATTTTGATGTGTTCTTTTATTTTGGCCATGTTTCTTTGTCTCTTCATTTTTGGAGCCTCCCTGTGTTTGTTCCTATGTATTAGGTAGAGCTACTTTGACTCTGTGTCTTGGTAATGTGGTCTAATATAGTAGGTGTCCTGTAGGGTCCAGTGACACAACTCCCCTCTCATCCAAGCTGGGTACCTGAGGTGGGCTGAGTACACCCTTCTGTTGTAGTTAAGCCTTGGTTGCTGTTGGCAGGTCAATGGGAGGGATTTATCCAGGCCAGTCAGCTGCAAGGACTGGCTGTGACAACTGGCCACTAACCTCTGCCCTCCATGGAGGATCAGCTGTGCAGGGAGGGTCAGGGTGGTGATGTTCCAATCCAGCCTGTAGCTGTCCACTGGGTACACTGGCCATAGTTGTTACCTGGATGCAGGCTAAGGTTGGTTCCCACCTGTGTTTTGCCTGGGGCCACCCTGCCTGAGCTATAAAGCAATATGAGTTGGGCTTGGAGATTCCCAAGTGAAGCCAAGCTGTGAATCTTGGCTAGCTGCTGCTATTTTCAGACCTGAGGCTCACTGAGGCTGGCTGTTGCTTGAAAGGATTTAGGAAATTGTGTGGTAAGAGCCAAGACCAAAGGAGCTTGGGTGGGCCCACAGTTGGGTGGGGCAGTCTCTGGGGATCTCCAAGGTGGGTCATACAGTGTTAGCCAGGTTGATGGTCTCAGATATGGCACCAGCTTGCTGACTCTCTGGCTCTGTTGGGGGAGGGTTTAGAAAAGGGCCAGTGGCCTCTGGTTGCCTTGATACCAGACACATTCGTTTCTCCCAGTTTGTCACTAATGTCTTTCAAGCTTTCAAAGTGGAGCTCAGAGGGACTAAGTCTGAGTGGTGAGTCTGTGCGTGGGTTAAGAGGAACTGCTTGAGGCTCTAGAAGTTTCTTCCAGCAACTCAATCCCTGCTGTTTTTTTGCAGCCAGAAGTTGTTGAGACTTATCTCCTCGCACTAGAACCTCGATGTGCAGCTGGGAGTCCTCACTCCTGAGATATACCTCCCGAATTTTTATCCACCACACATCCATGTGGGGTCAGCCCATTCCATGTCTGCAGCCCTCCTACCAGTCTGGATGGATGTGGTTTCTTTAATGCTGTAGTTGTCAGACTTCCATTCAACTCAGTTTCTGATGGTTCTGAGTGATGGTTGTTCTATGTTTTAGTTGTAATTTTGATGTGATTGTCCAAAGAGGCAAGCTGTGTCTTCTATACCATCATCTTTACTGGAAGTCCCTCCCTAAATTTTTAAAAATTAAATCTATTGGGCTGACATTGATTAACATAAATTTCAGGTATATGTCTTTCTCATATAGCATCTGTATACTATATTGTGTACTCACCACTCAAAATCTAGTCTCCTTCAGTCACCATATATTTCAGCCCCTTTACCCTCTTCATCCTACCCCCACCTCCTCTTCCCTTCTGGTAGCCACCACTGTTTTATCTGTTAACTTTTTGTTTTGTTTTGCTCCTGTTGCATGTTATGTCCCACATGAGTGAAATTATATGGTTCTTGTCCTTTTCTGATTTATGTCACTTAGCACAATACTCTGAAGATCCACAAATAGCAATGGTACACCTTTTTCATGGATGAGTAGTGTTCCATTCTAGATATGCACCACACCTTCTTTATCCAGTCAAACAACATTTAGGTTGTTTCCATGTATTGACTATTGTTAATAATGCTGCAGTGGACACATGGGTACGTATGTATCAGTGCTCCAGAATTTGTTTGGTTCCTTTTTTTATGGTTTGTCTCTTTGGTCATTTATTAATTTTATTCCTCAGCTTCACTGAACTGCCTTTTTGAGTTTTCTTGTATAGAGCTGAGTTTATTCATAACTGAGATATTGAATTCTCTGTCACTTAAACCACTACCCCCGTGACTTTCAGTTTGGTTATTGGAGACTTTGCTCCCATTACCTTGGTTGTTCATGGTACTTGATGGATTATTTCTCTTCCTGCACATTTTAGGTAATAAAGCCTTTTCTCGTTTAGTATTTTGCTTTTAACAGTTCAAGTTGACAGGTAGGGTACTTTCTTTTTTACCGTGGTGCTGGAGTATCTCAGCTTTCTTTACCAAGCTCTGCTGGCATGTGTGGCAGGAAAGGCAAGTTTGTTCTCTCCAGCTGTTGTTTTCTCTTTTTTTAAAGATTGTTAGAAAGGGAGACATCAGCATGTGGTTGTCTCTTGCTCGCCCCCTACTGGTGATCCTTTGGCTTCCAGGCTGGCACTCAATCCACTGAGCCACACCAGCCAGGGCTGTTGTATTTTTAAAGCTGCCAGCCACCTCTACTGGGCTCTGCTGCAGGGGGGAGGAGGGGTGGTGGCTTTTCTGGGAGGAAACTGCTTTTGCCCCTCTTCTGTTCACTGCCACCAAGCTCACTGAACCCTGAACTGCGTCTGTGGCCACCATCCGTGTCCTTCCATCCCACCTCTCCTACTCATTCTGTCATGCTCCCCTTCCTGTGTCCCAACGAGTGGATCTTTAGGCATCTTTGTATGTCGAGCAGGGGATCCTTTGTGGAGTTATAATAGTCCAACTGGTAAATTGAAGGGGAGAAATAATGGAGTCTTCTGACTCCTCCGAGACACAAAAGTCACTCAGATCAGCTGCACTTCACAGGGTGGCTGTTAGGTTCTGCTAAGTCCTGCAGTCAGGACTGGGCTGGGGGAATCAGGCTGGACTCTCTAGGCCCTCAACCTTTGCAGACATGCAGGAAAGCTCAACACTGGAAGGATAAAAGATGTCTGGCAATTCCGGGCCACATGTGGTTGGCCACTTGTTATCTGGCACCTAAAAGAACATGAAGGGCACTGTCTCCACAAGGCCACAGTTCCTGACACCACGGACACTGGGACTCACAGGAGCTGAAGTTACCTGACAGCGCCTGAGCCTCCAACTTGCCAAAGGGAACAGGCGTCAGAGTTTTCTGGAAATGAACCGAACCCGACAGCCATCCTCAGAAGACCAGCCAACATTCAAGATCCAAGGGGAATTTCTTTATTCGCCTAAGTTTTAGAACTGAGGAAATTATAAACTGACACTTATCCCTAGAAGTCTCCTCAAACCCATTATGCATTTCACCGTCTCTCTGGGTTTTGGGGCACAGGTGACTGATGGAGATGCCTTTGCCCTACTGTGAGAATACCCTCCACTTCACTAGCAGGATCGATCCCAGTCAAGTCCCAGTTGCTCTATCATAGGCCCTGCTTCTTCACATCTGTCAGCTCAGTCGATTGTATAATGGCATTGGATGCAATCACATGAAATTCTATTTTTATGGGTAAAAATGTTCAGGTATTGACAATTTTATGTTTAACGGAATAGGGTGGGGTAGAATAATTCAGGGAAATTAATGAGCATGTTCTTGAAGAGGTGTATAAGGAACAAACTTTAGAACATCCAAAATAATTTTTAAAAAGTCAAAGTCTACAGCATATTTGATAAAATTTATTGAAATTCATTCCAGTGTGAAGTGGTAAATTTTCAATGCCTATAGTACATATCTTTGAAAAGAACTTCACTGCACTATTATGAACCAGGTTGATAGTATTTTGTAATATCCAGACATCAGTATTATAAAATTTAACTTTCATATTTATAAAATTGAAAAAATAAAGCGCCTAGAGCATATTTTAGTATTAAAAATATACTTAGTATCTATTTGATGTGACAAAGACTGATGCTTTGAGACAGGTGATTTTCAAGCTTTTTACATAACTAAAACCAAATATAATTCATCCAAAAGACTAAAAATTAGAAAGTGGGCATTTACTGGAAACCAGACATTCACGTGTGATGTGTGTGCGTGTCAGCGCGCGTACGCGTGCCACTCTCAGCAGACAGATCTGAAAAGGGCCTCGTCCGAGGGCAGCAACAGGAGCGGCTCTGCCACACCCGCGTGTCTAGTTTTTGTAGAAGTGAAGTGGCCGCAAGGACATTAAGTAAAATAAGTCAGAGAAAGACAAGTGACGTGTGATCTTGCTTATGTGTGGAATCTAAGAAGACTCAACTCACAGAAACAGACAGACTGGTGGCTGTCAGAGGCAGAGGAGGGGATGGAGGAAAAACAGGTGAAGGGGGGAAGGTACCAACTTCCAGGTATGAGATAAGTAAGTCCTGGGGGGTAATAAACAGCGTGGCGACTGCAGTTACCGACACTGTGTTATATGCTTGCAAGTTGCTGCGAGAGGAGAGCCTAAAACTTCTTATCACAAGGAAAAAAAGTGTTTTAAACTATGTCAGGTAATGGATGGTAGCTCAAGTTATTGTGGTGGCCATGTCTATATTCATTACTAAGTCACTGTGTTCTGTAACTTACACTAACACAGTGGTATATGTCAATAACATCTGGATAAAACTGGGAAAAAAATCTTTAAAAGAAGTGAAGTGGCACTGAAGGAAGGAGCAAAGTTGGGCAGTATATGACTTGCAGAGAATGTTAGTTGCTATGGACTGCAGAGAAAGCACGCTCTTCGGATCTGCTGGGAGGCAATGGTGGCTCCTGATTTTATAAAGAGGGAGTGAGGCAGTCCTGGGAACACAGCCAAAAAGAAAAGATTTTATGAAACCCCATGAATCTTTTCATCTTATTTTAATGGCAGCAATGGTTAAATATAATGTTATAATAGAACATGACTAACATTTTATCAAAACCATTTTTTCCTTTATAACTTTTTTAAATGTCATGGAATTCCGTTTTAAATGAAAACACGAGATACTATCAATGTAAAAACAACTTACAAAGTTCTATTTACATGTAACTTTTCCAGAGTGCACCAACTGCATAAAGCAAGTATGTGGGTTACTTCGTTCAAATAACAAGAATCTGCAATTTAACAATCAAGATTACCCTCCTTGAAATCTCTAACAATGTGCTAATTTTTTAAAACACAAAATGTTTAGTTTTTTAAATGACAGGCACCCTTAGAAAATGTACTTCTCCGGTACTTTAGACTTCTATATACTACGTACAAGTATATAGCACCAAAATCCATTTTAATAATATCAACACAAGTAATTAATATTTTTAAAATACAATGTAATTTCATGTGGACATACTAGAAAAATTAGAACTTCGGACAAGTATGAATATAAAATTTTCTTAAATTTTTCTAAAATCAGAAGTTAAAAGTTTTAGAAAATGGCAATTTAAAAACTCAAAGAGTGTTCTTTGACTAGATAACCAGAGAAGTTGAAATTAGTTAAACTACAAAATTTAAGGTCTTATAATGTCTTTGGTTTAAAAGTCAAGACTATTTCATAACTCTATTATAAATTTTAGAGCAATGTAGAAGTTACTAAAAGGTTAAGAAGTGCCAGATTTTTAAAGATCAAACTAAACATCAGTTTACTCCCCTGTAATTAGAATTCTTGAAAAAATTTCCTGTATTCAATTCAATGAACAGTCACCTTTAATGTTATTTATGAAGTCTTTTTCTTCAGTTACATAATGAACTATTGTAGCTCAGAAATGGAATGGTGTAAGTAAAACACTCAACTTCATACTCTGATAAATAATAAGTGATAAAGATACTACTCATGAGTATGACATACAATTCTAGGGAAGGTCTCGCCCAGCTATTTTAAGGAAGGAAAAACCTTCTGGGAGGAAGGGATAACATACTTATCAATGCACGGACTGACAGGACAGTGCAAGCAGGCGGCCTTGCTCCAAGTGTAATTAATGGTAGTCTTATATACCTGCTCTGTGCCGGCTTCCCACCCTGCAGGAGTAGTGCAATCTCTAAAATCAAGTACATTTCCAAAGTTGTATATGAAAAGGAGATAGAGGGAGAGAGAGAAATGTGCTCACTTAAACAAAAAATCAGCAGCCTGTAAGTGAAAGGAAATAGTGCAAAGTCAATCTTTGGCCCCTTTAACATGTCGAATACTGACTCAAAGAAACAAATACACTGGCTGAGAAGGCTTATTACCACAGCACACAGAAGCTGCCTAGCTCACTGGATAAACTGTCCACCCTAAACTGAAGGAGCAGACATTTCGTAATTTCAATTAAAAAAAAATGTAACAACCTCTCTGCTACTCTGATATGAGATTCTTCCCTTTAGAAAAATCTCCCTGTAAATGACAGCCAGGGTTGTGAATTTCCGAGGCCAGGGTTGCTAGATTCCTTTGGCCCTGACCTTGGTAGCTGTGATGCCTCTGCCGTCTCCTGTCCCAGAGGCTGCCCTGAAACAGGGTGAGGACATGGGTCCAAATCCTCTGTCGCGCTGGCGGTTCTGGAGTCAGTCTTCCCAAAACAGTATACTGTTCAGTTGTTCACTTTGACACTTGGAGTAACAGGAAGACAACTTTTGTTATGAGAAATAGCTTTTACATGATATGGACAAAAAAAGCACAAGATGAAAGGAAAGAGATAATAAAACTCAGATTGAAGAAGAGCAGTTTTCCTTACTGGCTGGGAAATCTGCAGAGGGGGACTGAATACCGTCTATGGAACCCTGCATCCACAAGGGAACGTCTCACTATGTATGCAACACACGAGTTATACACATGCCTATTTCGCATTCACTCTGCAGCACTATTAGTTCAAATGACTGCTCGGCATGCTCCTTGGACTTCATCACCGTCGCGTTTACTGTCTTCGATTTCATGCGTGCGACAACAGCTTTCTTTTTCCTTTTACCCTATACGACCGAGTGCTGGCTACTGCCCTTTTACAGGAAAGAAAACAGCTTTCCTATTCAGATGCTTTTACTACGGGCTTGTACAAAAAAATTAATAATGTCCACATAATAAAGTGAAAAACTGTGAGTCTAGACATCATTATACTCTTAAAACTTCAGGTGCTGCTAAGACACATGAGACAAGGGCAGTGAGCCGGAATGCACTTTCTCTCTCCCAGAGATCTGCTCTGACTTCTAAATGGATGACCAGACTTTGAGTCATCTGTTTTGAAGATTCTGTCACTGTGCTTTCCTGACTGGAGCAAAAAGCACACTCTTGCCAAGTTCACGTATTCTGAAACACAAAAGCTCTCCATGTCCTGGAACGAGGGAAGCTTTGGAGCTCCTTGTACCTCAGAGGTGCAACAGCAATTCTGACTTCAGCCAATGTCCCCCCCCCTTTTTTTTAAAGACTGGTCTTTAAATTGTTCATATTATTCTACATAAGTGACTAATTTCCTTATAACTGTATTTTATTTTACCAAGACCCATCATAAACCTCTCAATTAAGCTAAATTTAAATTGATTTTTAGCAGAAAGTAAAAATAATGCTTTAAAGTATAAAATATCACCTACTGTTTTACAATTTGAAACTGGTAACTTAAACTAGAAAAAAATATACATGTAGATAAAAAAAAATGAAGAAAGAGTTCCAGTCTTTTCCCTTCTGCCCAGAAAAAATTCTGTATCTGGTATCACCAGCTCGAGTCCTTGGTGCCCTCTCGGAGTCCTGCTAAGGCGTATGCACCGTGGCGGGCTCACTGCTGGTCTCCTTCAACCCGTCTCTTGCGGACTATGAGAAAAATAAAAGAAGGTATGTTAGAAATCCCTGTTCATTTTTACAAACCTAACGCTCATTACAAACAAGTTTCTGTATAATCCAGCTATAGCTGTACAAAAATGAAATGTCTGTTTCCAGTCCACATGGTCGTTAAAATAAAAAATTCACATCCTTCTTGTCATTTGCCTGCTGAGAAGCGAGGGGCTTCGAAATGAGAACCACGTGTGTTAGCTCCTCTGCGCTCACACAGCCACAACGTTAGAAACCTGCAACAGAACGGTCAGCAATCGCCTTCAAGTCATGGTGCCTGCTTATCTGTTTATTAAAAAGTTATACTTCCATTAAAGATGATTAATAAATGATGCAGCTGGGATTAGAAAGTATTAAGTGTATTCACATGCTCTTCTGATTAGGTCCTACAATTTATTTCCTTAGTCTGAGAAAGAACACAGCAAAGACAGTTTCATCATTCATTTTAAAAAGTGACATGCTACTGCTCTCCAAATTTTCCTTCTCTTGTCCCCTACAAGGTGAGCCAGCTTGGGGCTCTGACCAAACAACAAATACGAAGTGATGGAAAACTCGGACCCTGGTAATCAGGTCTAGTCACAGCTGGCTACCACAAACCCTGGCTGCCAAGGAGGCCAGCCAGCTAGTTCAGCGGACAGAACAAATAAAGGCACATACGTCTGAGGACCCCCAGTCTCTGGGCAGACTGGTGGCCCTAAACCACTAGGTTATGCTCGCTAGTAGCTGGGTAGCTTTAGGACCTGGCTACCTTCACTCTTACCTATCAGCCACCAGAGAGCATTTGCCAAGAGCCACCAGGCCAGGGCTCCTCAGCTCTGTGGCCACACCCTATTTAGGGAAGACAAAAAGCACAGATTTGGAGTCAGCAACAAACAGTGTGAATCGTGGCTCTGTCATTTTTTTTGTAGTGCATGCTCTCTGGCAAGGAAATTAACCTCTGAGCCTCAACTCATCCTTTGTAATAGGAGAATAGTAATACCCGTACCTCACTGCTGTGAAGTTGAAGGCTGACTCGCTACTCAGCGTACTGAGGACATGGTAAGTACTCAGTAAAGAGTACTCGGTATCACCACCCACCGTTACAGGATGGCCCCAAGGTCCTGGCAGGCCTTCTTTTGGGGTGAGGAAAGCCAATTTATCTTTTAGAGAGGGTTTACATGTACACATTATTTGGTTTTGATACTCTTACCAAAGAGTATAAGTTAGATTTTTGGTCTATTAATTTTATACTCTCTTCTGTCTATGGAAGCAAGTAGGTAGGCAACTGCCTTTGTTTGGTCTGAACTTTCTGTTTAACAAAGGAATGAAAAGCCAACAGGCGCACCTGTCCTCCTGGCCAAGCTACAGGTGCTCTGAACTCACGCCACCCTTCCTGCTGGCTTGTCACAGGCTTTCAACAGACGAGAGCAGACAGTCGAGTGATGTACACAGAAGCTTGCCGAGCTACCAGCCAAGTACGAGCTAGAAAACCAAACCCAGAAGGACTAAAGTATGAAGTTCCTATGAACATTTTTATACTTATCTAATTAAATACCCCTCACTCTGATTTTAGTTCATCTTAACACAGCACAAGTTTCATGGGTTTACTGAAACATTAAGGGCAGAAAAATCAGATGGAGACTTTAGTCCTCAAACACAAACCTAGTTCATGTATATAGATCTCTGAGAAATACAGAAATATCTGAAAGGCAAACCAGATAATTCTGTAAGGTAGAACATGTCCAAGAAAATTCTGAATTGCGGTTTGGATGGGTTTGGATGTTACTGGCAGGCTATTTCAAGTGTTAAAATGCATGTTATTAAAAAAAGAGTTACAAACAAGACTGAAAGGACAAGTGGAGCAAACAGTGGAGAAAATCAGGTAGTTAGCTGGGGTGAACAGAGGAATATGAGACTCAGTTCAGTCAAACCCTGCACGTACACCATGGCCTTGCTGTTATAGCTGCGACACTTCTTAGCTGGAGAGACGGTGAGTAGGACCATTTCAATGAATAGTTGAGACTAAGAAAACAATGAGAGGAAAAGACATTATCAAAAGCAGGGCACAAAAGATCTGATTCGGCCCCATTTGCTGGCTGAATAAATACTGTACAACCAAGAGGTTCTGTAAAAGTTTCTAGTTTTGTTCTTTGGTGTCTCTCTCCGAGGACTACATACTGGACTGCACGTAGAAGACCTGGTCTTCAGGCTCACCACCTGGACCCACAGGCAGAGATCACAGTGTAGGGCTGAAGAAGATCAAGCTGAGTGCTGGGAGCACAACACGGCAGAGGACGGGCAAAGAGCCATTTCCGGCTCCTCTTTCTCATGTGGTGCCACTTGTCAGCTTCTGGCAGTGCCTCCATTCAGCCTCCAGATGAGAGGCTGAGAAATTCGGCCCCACTACCAATTTTGGGCAATTTCTTTCCAAAACCCACTCCACAAATAAAAGTTCTCAGTATTTGGTGATCAGTCAGTTACCTATTAAGAGTAAGTCCTAATTAACCTCATATGCTATCACTAGAACGTAATATGAACTTTTTTTGAACTATCCTTTTTTCCCTTCAAATAAGAGAATGTTTCTTTAGAAAGTCGCAGAGGTAGAAGTGAGCGGTAGAAGAGACGGGCTCAGGGAACAAGGTGCAGAGGGAAAGGGTAATGCGGGCCAGGGGACACGGTGGGGGAGGCGTGGGCGTGCTCCCGGAGGGACAGCACTGGACCTGTCGTTTGAATCTCGCGTTCAGTCGTCTATGACGGCTCACAAATGCCTCCCACACAAAACCCCAAGAAATCTCAGTTCTTCCCCATGTTATCTTAGTGCCGTCTCCCAGCGCCCCTCTTAATCTGCTGACGTGGCCTTTTTTATTGTTAGCTTCAAGCAGCAAGTACTTGTTGGAAGTTCATTCTGGAGGCGGTGTCCTCCTATGACAGTTCTCAAATTTTCAGGCTGTCCTCAGCATGCACTTATTGCCCAAATTTTTGAGGGAAAAAATAAGGATGTGCATTATACATGGCAAAATACGGTAAATGGCCTGCCTGCTCACAAATCTGAGCTTTTATTCATGCAAATCCCCACTCCAGGAATGTCCTTAGTCTCATTTCATGTCTGAGAATCTACTTTAGATAAAAATGAATCAGATTGGGAGGGGGTCTAGAGAGCCATCAGCACAAAGCTGTTCACTTTCTCTCAGTTCTGCTTCATGTCAGACCACAAGTTCCTTACTGGCCTCTATCGCACATGGCCAAGGACAGCAACTCAACTGCTCGGCACCGACCTAGAGCAGCCTAGGAAATAGTTTCTGTTTCCTCATCTTCCATCTGCCAAAACTCACAGCCCCCACCCCCTTTTCTTATAGAAATCTGAGCAAAGTGCTACCACGATGGCTCCTCTGAAGAGCACGGCCCGAGGCCCTGCACAGGCTGGTGTCCCGGTCCTCTGACAATGCGGGGTCTCCCTGCAGCTCCCAGAGATGGCTGGGGCTGCCAGTTTGTTGGTGGGACCCTGGATGGATAGCTAAGATGGTTTCAGAGGACACCTTTGGCTTGTTTATCGCTAGGTGCCAGAGAACTGTAACTTTGAGCAGGGTTCAAATTCTATCACTTCCTATGCACCTAATAAATCTTTATTAAGTACCCTTATTGTCGGGCGTGGTTTTAAGAGAGCTGTGGATCCACTCACCCTTGCCCTCCAAAAGCTTGGACTCTTTGAAAATAGATAATTACAATAAATTATAGCTAAATTATTAAGTAAAAACTTTTTTAGAGCCAATAATCTATACGTTCTTGGAGCCCTCCAAGTATTTGGGAAGTTCAGTCGAACTTGAGAAACACTACTCAAAAAAGCAAAATTAAATACCTGAAGGACAATACAGAATCTAACTAGTGAACCAATACTAAAACAATCAGCACAACTTTGCAAACTACATTTACAATAAAAAATACACCAAAGCCTACCAATTTTCTCTTTTAAAGAGCAACAGGTGAAACTACTTGACAGGGGACTATAGTCATCAAAGAATAGAAAGGGTTTGAACTGGTACTTTTCACACCGGTCTGGATTAAAGGAATGAAGGTGTATTTTTTCTAGTCTGGAAACCCTTAAAGAATATAAATTCAAATGTGGCTGAAACTTAAAAGAACAGCCTCACTTTGAAATGTTATTCCCTTTAAAAGGTTTAAATTCTTATCTACATGCAACTTTAAAAATATTTCAATAACACCAAACTTAAAAGAAGAGTCAATTTGGGGGAACATGCAGAAGCTAAAGCCTCAGCAGGTCAATAGGAATGATGAAAGAAAGGAAGACCACTGACCTAGATGGTGTGCAGTGGAAAGAGTTAGGGAGACTGGTTAAATACAGCAAATGTTAACATAACACCGAATATAAGACTTAAATTAAGCCCAGACCAGTGTGGCTCAGCTGGTTGGGCGTCATCCCTGCAAAGCAAAAGGTTGCTGGTTCGATTCCCCACCAGAGCACAAACCCGGGTTGCACCTTTGGCCCGTAGACAGGGTGAGGACAAGAGGCAAACTTATTGATGTTTCTCTCTCTCTCATCAATGTTTCTCTCACTCATTTTCTACCCTCTCCCCCACTCTCTAAAAATAAATAAAATGTTAAAAAAATAACCTGGATTGAAACTATAATTATTTTCTATCATATAATGCATTTGTTTGATAAAGAGGGCAAAAACTGTCCTGTAATGTTGAAATACTTGTTTTATTTTAATAGCTCCAAAGAGTGACCTGTAGCTGAGAATAAAGTATTTGTTACGGAGTACAGATGTTTGCTGTAGAGAAACATGTACTTACAGATGTGAAATGTAACGGTCAGAGGAAGTACATTTTACTCACCACCAACCCAATACCATCTGAAACCTCACTTAAACTGAACTCTGATTCAATCAGTATAAAAAAGACCACACAAAGTTTAGAAATAAAGGCCAAGCAATCTCTCTGTTAAAATACAGTTTAAAAGTAAAAAAAGCTTCTCCAATACCTTAGCTTACTGGCATAACTCAGAAACTTGATTTGATATTGCATATGTCTTACCTAAGTCATTGTTTTTCGTTATAGCATTTGCTGCCCTGGTTCGGGGTCCCTGCTGTGTAAACTGATATCCAAATTTAAGGATATTTGTGTTTTCCTCAAGCATCTTGGCCATTTCCAGTTCTACAGCTGTCCCCAGCTGCTGCCTCTGAAACAAACAGAAATAAAGAATAGTGTTAATAAATTAGATCAAAATACTTTTCAAGATAAGTCAAGACTAAGACACTGAAGTACATGCTAATTCTGTTGGTCTATTCTTTTAACTAATTGCACATAAGAGAAACAAACATTTTTTTAAAGATTTTATTTATTTATTTTTAGAGAGAGAAGAAGGGTGGGAGAAAGAGAGTGAGAGAAACGACACAACCCCAACTGGGGACCTGGCCTGCAACCCAGGTACATGCTCCAACTGGGAACCAAACCGGTGACCATTCAGTTCCCAGCTGGCAATCAATTCACTGAGCCATACCAGCAGAGGTGAGAAACAAAATTTTAAAGTTCAGTATAGATCATACAGGTATCAAAAAATTGTGAATTACCACAATGAGATACCCTTCATATCCACTATAATCAAAAAGACAAAAAGTAATAAGGGTTGGCAAGAGTGTGGAAAAACTGGGACGCTCAGATGTGCTGGTAGGAATATGAAATGGTGCAGCTGCTGTGGAAGACAATCGGTCCTTCCTCAAAAAGTTAAATACAGAGTCACAACGAGACCCAGCAATGCCCCTCCTAGGCACATGCCCGCAAAAGATGAAAACACATGTGCATATAATAAGAACCTGAGTATGAATGTTTACAGCAGCTTTGTTCCTAATACTCAAATCGTCGACACCACCCAAATGTAGCAGAATATCAGTAAGCCATAAAAATAAGCACTCATATGTGCTACAACAAGGATGACCCTCCAGAACATCTGGCTAAGTGAGAGGAGGCCACACAAAGACCACACGTTATACAAGACCACGTGCACGAACTGTCCAAAAGAGGCAAACGCACAGGGACAGAAAGTAGATCAGCGCTGGCCCGGGGCTGGTGGGAGGCATGGACGGGGAGCGACTGCTGATGTGTCGTGCGGAGTTCCTTTTTGAAATGATGAAAATGCTCTGGAATTAGGCAGTGGTGACGGTTGCACAACTCCATGAATATACTGAAAATGTTAAATTAATATTCTGGATGCCTTCAATGTCTTCTCATTCCCTTTCATGCCACCACCTTGCCAAATGGCTCCCTGAAAGCCCCCCTCCCACACCCTTGAGTCCCCGAGCCCTACCCAGCAGCCTGGGCTGAGCTTCCTCGGTCACCGCTGCAGAACACTGACCTGATTGTCAACCTTGAGCTCTGTCAGGGCCTCATTATCTCTTAGAGCATCGATGAGTGCTAGAATCCCAGTTGCTGTAATAAAGTTGGACTCCACATTTAAGCTCTTCAAATTTTTGTTCACTCTCAGCATATCTGCAAAAGCCTAAAAATTAAAGAAAACATTTGGTGATTATAATTTGATGGCACCTAATATACACTATACATGCCATTCACAAACATACTAATTAACATAACTGCCTTAATGTTTCTCATTAGATTATTTTAGCCTGACGCATACCTCACAGGTCTCACATGTATCCCTTTGTACACGTACCCTGTTACAATCTTTAGATTTTGTTTTCACATGTAATTAATTCTGTTGGTAACATTTTCCTCTGCTATTTACATTCTTATGTTCATTCACACCCTTTGTTGTATTTCTTTTTCCTGTCTCTCATCCTCTCTGTCAGTTTCTGTGTAGGACTAACTTCATCAATGTCTCTTTGGAACTTCTGTTCTTATCTGGGTCCTGGTGCAGCTGGGTTACTGAGAAGCCAAAATAAGGGTAAATTATGGACTAATTTCCAAGGCAGAGACCAAAAGAAATGCCTAGGGCACATGGCCAAAAAAGATCACAGGTCACTAGAACTACAAGAGCACAAAGACCACGGAGAAGAAGGGAATAACTACATATTCGGTTGCTCAAAGAATGCTATGCCTTCCACCCACTTCCATTCCTTTCTCGCAGGATACTGTGGTGCTAGGCATTCGACTGAGTGCTTCATAAACACCACTGTAATTAATTCACTGACAGGAATCTGTGAGAAGAGGAGGAAAAGGAAAGGAAGAAGTTAGAATATAAGTGAGTTTATATAAAACTCCCTTAGAGGGGTCAAACACAAGGTCAAACTCCAGAAAACATGGGTAAGATTCAGCTTCAAGTCAACTTAAAGAAAAGGCAATGGGAGGGGATGGGGATACTAGAAAGAACTTGAAACAGATTATCCGCACACTGGTACTTTCCATCAGTGACAACTCACTACCTGACCTGGAACCAATCCCTTATTCATCCTTCTGTACATCCACTTATTCAAATATCATTTATGGCTTATTATTTGATAAGTACTATTCTGTACATTCAGAAATAAAACATGCCTAATGGGCCTTGCGTTCTCATGGGGGGCCTAGATAATAGGTAAGCAAAATGTCACGTCAGACAGTAAAGAGGGCCATAGAGGAAGGAAAAAAGGCAAAGACGGGTAGACAGGGAGTGCGAGGGGTAGGGCTGGTGGTGAGGAAAGACTCAAAGTGGTGAAGTGAAACCGGAGTATATGTAGGGAGGGAGCTCTGCGCAAGAGGAACCAGAGTAAAGGCCCTGAGCTGGCGGCCTGCACGGAGGGCTCTGAGGAAGACAGGGAGGCTATATGGTAATAGCAGAATGAAAGAAGGGCAAGTAAGGGAGATGAGGTCTGCTCATGCAAGGCCTTGTAAGGCCATAAGAGACTTTGATTTTTACTTGAAGTGAGATAGGGAGCTTCTGGAAGGCTCTGAATACAGGAATGAGATACTTAAATTTAAGCTTTAAAAGAATCACTTCTGATGTTGTGCAAAGAGCTGGCTTGGGGTGGGTGAGATGGAAGCAGGCAGCTCGTCATCAGAAGGCCCCTGCAGTAGTCCACATGAGAAAAGATAGTGGCTTACACTGGGAAGGTGGCCGTGACAAGGGTGAGATGTGGCTGCATTCGAGAAATAGTCGGAAGACACGGTTGGGTATATATTTAAGGTCATGGGGGAAAAAAATCGAGGGTGACTCCATTTCTTTTTGTCTTGAGCAGATGAAAGAATGGAGTTGCCATTTGGTGAAAAGGGAAAGCGTGTGAGAGAAGCAGGAATGGGATGGAAACTAGAAGTCTGGTTTGGGACTTCATTAGACACTGAAATGAAGCTGTTAAGTAGGTAGCTGGACAAGAGTACAGAGTTCAGAAGAGAGGTATGAACTAGAGATAGTAACAATCAGCATATACAGATAATATATAGCAACGAAACAGAATGAAATCACCTGGAAAATGAATGCAGACCAAGAAAAGAGGGCCTGCAGCCGAGCCCTGAGTTGTTCCAATGCTTAGAGGCTGCAGAGAAGAGGGAGAACCAGTATTAAGACCAAGAGAAGAGACATCCAGATGAGGCAGGAGGAGATTCAAAGTGAGTGATGTGCCTGCCTGGTGTAGCTCAGTGGATTGGGCGCAGGCAGCAAACTAAAGGGTCACTGGTTCAATTCCCAGTCAGGGCACATGCCTGGGTTGTGGGCCAGGTCCCCATTGGGGATGTGTGAGAGGCAACCACACAGTGATGTTTCTCTCCCTCTCTTTCTCCTTCCTTGCCCCTCTCTCAAAAAATAATAAAATCTTTAAAACAAATTGAGTGATGTCCCTCAGAGCCAAGTGAAAAAAAGGTTCACAGCATGATCAAGAGGGCTTTACCCCAGGAATGCAAGGCTGACTTAACATACAACAATCAATCTAATATACCATATTAATAGAATAAAAGACAGAAACAGTATGATCATCTCAATAGAAATAGAAAAAGCATTGGACAAAACCCAACTTTATTACAGATCCATAAATGGAATCTTCTGCAGATGTTAAAAAACTGGTGTGGAACTTTATGTACTGATGTGAGAATACCTCTAAGACATACTATACTATTGGTGAAAAATTAAACTGCAGAGTAGCATTTTTAAAAAGTATAGAAAGGAAATATAGAAAAAACATAAATAAGCAATAAATCATGTACTGCTTAAGAGAGAGCTAAATACCAATTGAAAAAAGGGAGTGAATCTTGTTCATAAAATCACAGTTTAGCCATCTCTGTAAGACCCTGGTATGTAGATGTAGTTTCAATACTATCGGTAGTTAACTTACAGAGAACAAATTGATGGTTGTCAGAGTGGAGGGGAGTTGAGGGTTTGGGTGAAAAAGGTAAAGGGATTAAGAAGTAGGTATTGATAGTTACAAGGCAGCCAGGGGACAGAGTCAACACTACTGTAACACTTACGTACGGTGCCAGCTGGCCACTCGTCTTACAGGGGATCACTCTGTACGTTATATGAGTGTCTAACTACTGTGCAGTACACCTGAAATGAATATTGAATGTCAACTGTAACTGAAACATTAAAAAAAAAAAGTAGCTTACTTACAATAGCAACAGGGTCATTGCTTCGTGTGGCTGCAAGACTGAAATATTTCACGTGTGTATTGGTTTCCAAAGCCTTCGCAAAATCTTTTAGGGTTGGAATTGGAATATTCTGGAAAGACAATAATGTGAAACATTATGTTTGTTTTCAGGGCATTCAGTTCATTAATCAAGTAAATATTTGTTATTACCTCTCTCATCAAAATCTTCTCAGGAATTATATAAACACACAATCGCTGGTCTACAAATGAAAACAAGTAACTCTGCTCCCTCCATACCACCATACCACCTACCTGACTTCACCATCATGGTACAGCTGCCCCAACTGTTGACCTCGAGCCGACTGTACTATCACCATTTCTCTAGTAGTTAGGTTAATGAAGCTCTTGCTATTCTACATCTGATCGTTAATATTATCAGGAAAACCTGAGTATTCAAAGTCGATCCATTTTCTACAAAAGGAAGACATGGGAGCAAACCCACAATGATTGTGATTCTTTTTTTCTTTAAATATTTTATTTATTTATTTATTTATTTTTAGAGAGGGGGAAGGGAAGGAGAAAGAGTGGGGGAGAAACATCAATGTATGGTTGCCTTTCATGTGTCCCCTGCTGGGAACTGGTCTGCAACCCAGGCATGTGCCCTGACTGGGAATCGAACTGCGATCCTCTGGTTCACAAGCCCGCACTCAATCCACTGAACTACACCAGCCAGGGCTGATTGTGATTCTTGAGGCAGAAGACATCCTGTTCTTAGTCCCTCAGTTTCAGCCACAACAGATTAAGGAAGATTAACCCTATACTACTTGAGACGTGGAAGACGGAGTTCTAGAAGGCACTAATTTTTCCCTTAGTCCCAAGACCTCAATTCCCTGTAGCCTGGTTATTTTCAGATCGCTACCGCTGATTTACAGAGATGAAGATGAAATTTTTAAGGAATGAATAAAATTAATGACCAACTATGGGAATGTCAACTTTTCCGAGGCTCTCTTTCCTCTGCCCACAGGAAGGAAAGCCTACTAAAGGAGTGTGGAGGACTTATTCCCTAGGCTCCTACAATTTCCAGATGTTTCCTCCATCCCCAATTCAGATAAATCCAGATTTCAAACTCCAGAGAAATGAAAACATGTTCAGGCGAGACTGCGTGTGAATGTGTATAGTGGCTTTATTCACCATCATCCCAAAATGGAAGCAATCCATATGCCTGTCAACTGATGAATGGATAAACACATTGCACTATATCCAAACAACAGAACACTACTCAACAATACAAAGGAACAAACTACTGATACAGGCGACAACATGAATCAATCTCAAATGTGTTATACTAACTGAAAGATGCCTCAAAAGGCTATGTGCTACATGACTCCATTTATATGACATTGTGGAGAAGGCAGAATGATGGGGAGAAAAACAGATCAGTGGTAGAGGCTCGAGCTGGAGGCAGTGAAGGAGGACACAGGGCACACAGGACACACAGTGAAGGAGGACACAGGGCTGCGGCACGTTCTACGTCCGACTGTGCTATGACCGTGCAAAGGTATGTGTTTGTCAACACGTGCAGAACTGGATACCAAAAAGGGAGAATTTCACTATATACAAATTACACCTCAGGAAACCTGATTAAAAAAAGAAAACCCAAAGGACTAAATGCTTTGAAAGGTGGGCAGTACTGTGAAAGCCAGAGAGACTGGACTACACTGGCAGTCCAGTGGAGTTTACATTTTCATATGAGAGTCTCTTAAAAGGCAAGTCAGGAAAACCATATCTTACTTTAATTTTTGAAATATGGAGGAATCTGTGTTACCACAGTGTTAGGAGCAAAAACTTGACCTTTAAGTAGTCATGGAAAGACTTACACTACACCAAGGCTGCCCCGCTCTCATCCTGCATCCACCTGACTCAGCAACTCAAAACTCTGTTTGCTTAGCATACCTACCTTTATATTATTCAAATTAACTTCAACAAGATGAACATCATTCTCTTTAATTCTCTTTAAACTCTCTTCAACGTTGGTTGGATTTGGTGGCTCATCAAACACTGGAAGAATCTTTTCACCTTTTACCACATCTGTAGGAACCAATGAGAAGAGCAAGAGTCTCAATGGTTGATACTATTAACGGCAGATGCATATATTAACTTGGTAACACCACACACACACATATTCAGTAGGACTAATTTAAAGTTTCCTCCCACAATTTCTACAACATCCTTTATGTGTTGGCACGTAAAGTGTGCAAATAAAACTTCAATGAATATATAGCAAAAATAATTCAACATTTTATTTGGGATATATCAGCCTTGAAAAATGAGCATTTTCACTGCCTCTTGGTATATTACAAGATATCTTTACCACTAAAACATATTTGATAACACAGGCCAATGCCCCAATTATTTTTATATAATTTATTAAATTGTAATTAAATTTTTATAATTAAAAACATTTTATATAATTTTATAGAACACTTCATATAATTTTCTCTGAGATCTGACTAGTTATTACTGTAAAAACAGTAAGGATCCCAGACTTGAAGAAACACAGCCTTGATGAGAATAACAGGTGACAAGAACAGGACACCTCTCCTCCTCATGGGGAGGACCACAAAATGGGAAAGAGGCGGACTCTCCATTTGGAAGAAGTGTACAGTAAGGGATGGGGAGACAGACAGAGGTGCTAATACACAGAAGAGCTACCCGGGTCCTTCACCACACGTGCTACGCCCACACACACATGGCCAGGGTACGACTATGCAAAGCTGAAAGAGGGCATGGAAGCCCTGAACCCTCTAATGAGCTATGTGTGCTCTGACATGTGTGTGGAGGTCTATAAACACCTACGACAGGCAAACTTCTATAAGTATGTTTTCTGGGAAGAACACCTGTGGCATGAGATTCTCTGAGTCAAATGACCACAAAATGTTAAGAACCACTGACAAGGAAAGACTGACAGGGTCACTGTCTGGCTTAGTTATACCCATCTGCCCTCCTCTAGTTTCTAGCTTTTAGGAGCAAAACTCATCTTAAGACAAGGTATACTGCCTATGCACCCAGTGAATCCCCTCTAACAGTACTATGTTCTTTTTGAACACACATACACCTGCAGCAGCCTGAGGAGACTGACTTAGATGAACAAATTCTTCCTCAATTCTAACTTTTCTAAAAGCCAAATGATCTCTTTCCCCACTCCATAAAATGCATGTATTTAAAGATCTGCTCCCCAATGAAATAATGGATCCAATCAATAGGCTGCTGAAACCATTGTGAAAGGAACTTTTTTTTTTTTTAAAAAGATTTTATTTATTTATCTTTAGAGGGGAAGGGGGGAAGGAGAGAGGGAGAGAATCATCAATGTATGGTTGCCTTAGTGCATCCCCTGCTGGGAACTGGCCTGCAGGGAACCGGCCTGCAACCCAGGCATGTGCCCTGACTGGGAATCGAACCGCGATTGTATGGTTCGCAGGCCCGCACTCAATCCACTGAGCTACACCAGCCAGGTGAAAGGATCTTTAAATGGATGGATCAGGCTGCCAAAATTTGAACCCACTGACCACCCATAACACATTCCCCAGACAGGTATGACTAGACCTGATATGCTTCCTAATGTGATTTAATCACCACCTAGGAAGCATTCTCACCAAAAAACAAAAACCAAACAACTGCACCTGAATCTCATCAAGACTCTATAAAATAAGTAACAGTTTACAGAAACACAGCAAATAAAGAAACATGTAAAATGATACCATCCGTTTGCAATCAGCCAAATCTAGAATGTAGAATATTCTACATAACTAATAACCCAGGTTCTTGACCGAACCAGCGACATTTTGACCTTTTGTTTTATAAAATGAAGCTCAATGCAGAGCCACACTAGCCAGGGCCTAATAAACCAGTTTCTTAAAAATGGCATGAAGAAAGCAAGGAAGAAGCTGAGGAGGGGAACTATTAAAAAATTACAAAAAAACTGAGACCAAATGATAACCAAATGCAATCTGTGACCTTTAGTTGGATCCTGATTTGAACAACCAATTATGAAATGAAGCTTTTGAGAGAACAGGGAAAATCTGAACACAGACTGGGTATCAGATGATAAGAAGGAATTACCCATTTTAAGTCTGATAATGGCATGTTAAAAGGAAAGTCTTTATTTGGAAAAGCCACATGTGGAAATACTTATGGATAAAGTGATACAAATGAACAGAACTTGCTTTAAAATATTCCAGGGGGGGAAAAAAAAGGGTGAGGAGAGAGGCAGGCAATAGATGATACAAGGCTGGCATAATGTTAAAAAGAGCTGAAACTGGGTGATGAATGTATCATTCTCTCTTCTATTATGTATGCTTGACAATTTCTGCAACAAAAAATTTAAAAAATATGGGGAAAGGCCAAACCACAGAACAGTCACAAACTGGAGCACTGTACCAATACTTGGGTGAGGCAGCTGTGTGTGTGCTAACCAGGGAGCAGGGTACGCTGCTAAGTGATATGCTACACGGCAGTGATTTTCGGCTTTTTCCCCCCTTCTTGGCACTCACGAACTAATTACTAAAATTCTGTAGCACACTAAAAACTACATTTTTTTGCTGATCTTACAAAAAATATAGGCATAATTTTGATTCATTCACACCAGACAGCTATTGTTGTATTGGATCTTGTCACTTTTTAATTTAACAATCTAAGGGAAAGAGTCAGGTACTGTATATTTTAAAAATTCTTGTGGCACACCAGTTGAAAATCACTACTATGTAGCATGGTTTAAAATTGTCACCACTGACTTTGTGTGACATTCAAGTTAGTTATTTCAATCATTCTCATATCTCAGCTCCCTCACATGCAAATAAAGGACAGTAATGATAATACCTATTTCATAGATTCTTGCAAGGATTAAACAGGAACAATTCATATGTTCAACATTCAGCAAATCAGCCCACAGCATTATTTTTGAAAAACAAAGTTATAAGGAATATCTATGGTATGATCCCATTGGTGTACACAAACAAAAAAAGGACTACACATACGGAGATATATAAGTTTAGACAAACACTGTACAAAGCCTAAAAGGGTATATGCCCAATTGTTAACAGGGTCACGGGAGCAGGGAACAGAAGGCATGGTGGCTATGAATAGACACTTCCTCTTCTTACCTTATACATTTAAGTATTTTTTACATGTGCTACACAAAGTATATATTACTTCGGTAATTTTAAAACATCCTACACATACATTTTTTAAAAAGCTTTGCTTTGGGCTATTTAATATTTTGCCTCAGACCAAAAGTTTTAGGGGCTGAATCGTTCTGTGGTTTCTCCTTAATCAGATTTTATAATGTAGTTTATCAGCATTGTGTATACATTTCCTGAAAATCAGTAACATTGAAAAAAGAATGTAAACAAAAGTCAAGTTTGACTAGCACTCATACTGTTTACCATTAGTATTATTAGTGAAGTGAAGTGAGAGTGGTTCCTATTACAATTGCTGACTCACTGAGCATAAAATGTCTAATATTCTATTTTTAATGGTTTTCTGTATCAATACCATCTAGCTGGACTCTCAGGTTGCCAACAGAAATACATAACATTTGGTATGTATACACTGAAGTTGATACATGGATAAAACAAAATATTTTTAACAAAGGACTAGAATTTACAAAGCACTGTAAGTACTTACTTGAAAAATGTTCTTGGTCAACACCATTACTACTTCCCACTATATTACAGAACTGTGTATTTGTTATCAAATTGTGCATCCCAAGAATAGCTATAGAGATAGAAAAAGAGAGTTATTTTTATTTCCATCAGCTTTAAACATGAAGAATTAATTTTACAACCAAAAATTTCTATTAATGATTTTAACATTCTCTGGAAAATTCAATTAAATACAGACTTTTGCATCCAGAAAGGGGGACACAACATGATTAAAAATCACCTACAATCCTTTTTTTCAGCAATGCCCTTATTGTTTTCCCCACAGTTCTGAATTTAGATTTCCTCACATTTCTGAATTGAGAGACATACTGGAGCCAGACTAACCCTAAATGCAAATCTACACTTAGCTCCATCTGGTGGCTAAGAAAAAAATTTTTAAATGATCTATTTTTGATGTTTGTCTTCACGAGGTTTCTAGCAACATAATCCAAAAGAATGAAAGTTTTCAACTTAACCTTTAGTATTTTTACATTCATTAATTCTCATATTAATTTACATTCATATTTTAGCCAGACTAGAATACTCAAAGTAGAGTTGAATTCTACTTAAGATTGAAGTAGCATATCCCCAAAATGACACTTAGGGGAAATAAATCTGGTTTTTGATTTTGATGCCCTTTTGCAAAAATGAGGCAGAAGCTACAGTGTGCCCCAGGCCCATCCCACTCTGATGAATTTACAAACCCACAGACAGAACACCTGCTCTGGCTGTGGCTGAACACCCTGACTGTCCTGTTCCTGGGTCCTTCCCGAAGAATCCCCACTGAGCCTTTCCAATGTGTCGTTCTTGGGGTTACTTGAGACTAAGATCTCCCATGTGTCGTATTTTTCTATCTCGGTAAATGGGTGTGTGTGGGAACAGATGGGGGAAGATTCTAGTCCTTATAAGAAACCAGCAATGATAAAAATAAGGAGGTTTGGAGAGTTCCATGTATACTTTAGAGAGGTTGGGAAAGTGATGAGTATAGCTCAGGGCTGCCGGTCTCATCTGCTTTCCAGTTACCCTCTTTGGTTCTATCTGATAAAATGGGACAGCAGTCGACCCTGGTGACTCTTTTCCGGTGCTCAAAGGGACAGCTTCTAGCTGAGCACCAGCTGATGAAAGATTTTTATAAAGACTTTCAAAATGGGCAACACGAGAAAAGATGTAAAGCAATACAATCAATTCCATTAACATAAAAATTTCACCGCTGAGAAAATGTAAAGAAATGAAATTCTTTATTTCAGATTTAGAGTGTAAGAAATAAAGCTAAATACGTGGTCACTGATTCAACAGCACTTTGCTGGGCTAAGGAAGCATCTGCATAACGTACACAGATGCACACAGTGTACACAGGGGTTTCCCTCCCCTCCACACTCACTCACAAATCAGTGCGTTTTAGGAGATACCTGCGAGGTCACACAATTCTGTGTCAGAAGCAGCTGTCAGAGCTTCTTCTAATTCTGGATCAAGAGATACTTTTTCTTCTGTAAGAGTCTGCATAGGCTTCTGTTTAGGGATAAATATTTTCCCTGTAAAATAAAGTGGTTTGTTAGTTTATTATTGCTATACACTCATTAGCATTTTACTCTTCTAACAAAAATTATTAGAAGTATGTGCAACTGAATCTAAAATAAAAAGTCAAGATTAACATCAACAATAAGTAAGTTTCATCTTCAATATGTATTTATGTTTCCAGGGTAATACCATAAAAGTTGGAGGAGAAAACCTAAGAAACTTTCCCATTTGTGAAAACATAAATAGGCTCTTTTTGGAGTAATTAAGAGTGAGTTACTTTACTGAATCAAAAGATAATGAGTAAAGGAATAAAGGTAAAAGTCTATAAAGCTTTAAAAAGATTAAAAGAAATTTTACTTTCTTATTTTTAAGCAACAAACTATCCCAGTCCCTTGGGGGATGGCAGAAGCAAGTATTCCAGAAATTCTGGTTCTAATTGCAAATTAGTTTCTGCATGTCCTGAGTGGCTGTCTGAAACTTTCCATCACTGTTCTTATGGCTTGTTGGACACTAACAAGGTGACCTATTAAGAAACTAGTTATTCTAGAAACCAAGAGTATTTATTATGTGAAAAATCAGTATTTTATTATTACATGTTCAATGTAAGGGTAAAAATATTAAGGGAATAGTAAATAATGATGATACAGCTGCAGCACAAGCTGAACAAACAAGAGTTACTCACACACAGGAGGAACTCCGTTGCCTAGGTTGCCTCTAGTTTCTCTCCCAAGACAGGTGACAATTCTAACTAAATAGTATGGAAAGGCCTATGTATGGATTCACAGAAGTGCCAGGTATTTTGTTCTCTATGAGGAACCTACCAGGGAAACAGGTGAGAACATGTGGCCTGATGAATCCACCCAGTGCTCCACCAAAAGGAATGTCTGTGGGCTCATAATCAGTGCGGTGAGCTGCGTACTTCTTGTTCAAGGTATCAGTTCGTGTAAACAAGGAACCATCCCACGAGACAAACAATACAAACTGCTCCCAGGAATCTGGCCAAGGCCACTCAGTTATTTTTTGTTAAACCCATCTAAAGGATCTTAATTTCTGATATGTTTTTTATTTTTAGCATTTCTATTTGGTTCTTTTAAAAAAAATAGTCTCTGCCAAAATTCCTCATTTCTTTGTACCTCTTATGAAGGGCTTGTCACTTTCTGGAATCATTTAGATTTGTGTCCTCACAAATCTAAGTTCTCTGATAGGTTTTTGCAATTTTAAACAAACATGATTACATAGAGTAAATTGCTTGTTTTGGTTGTTAAAGTGAGAATAACAAGTCTTTTGCTACTTTCTACATCTGAATCAAAAGTCTTTCTGATCAAGGATATTCTTATTTAAAAAAAATGGCATTTGATCCATCCATAATAAGGATCCATCCATATTAATATTCCTATTAATAAGGACTTTTCAAAAACTTTATTTTTATTGAGACTACTACAGATGTCCCCATCCCCCCACCCTCTGCCCACCTCCACGCAGCTCCCACCCCCTTCCCTCTGGCCATCACCACGCTGTTGTCTTGTGTTCATGTGTCATGCATATGTTTTTTGACGAATCCCTTCACCTTCTTTCATCTAGGATGTTTCTAAATACACATAACAGACTACTCAATTTACAGTGTTTAAAATGGCAATTCTCAAGCTTTAATTTGCATCTCATTCACTTAGGGATATTAAGGCAGGTCTGATGTGAGTGCTTGTTGGGGACAGCTCTGACTGGTTTCAGGAATTGTAACTAGCCCCCATGGCTAAGGATGAGTGAGCAACCTCTGGAATGCGAGCCACAGGAGACAAAGGCTTGTCTCTGGTAGCGGACATTGCCTCAGTTTCCTCCCCTTGCCCCCAAAGCATGGTCAGAAGTCAATGACGGGTAAGACTCCTCACAGAAAGGGGCAACCTTAGCCAGATTGGATCACTTGGGAGGCCGTCATGGAAGGACTCGGGGGCTGCAATAAGGAGGGAACAATGGACCCCCCCCCCCGGGGGGGCTATGTGACATAGCTTGAGTCCCCATGTCCTCTGGAAGAAGCGCTTGCTTTCTGGCTCTAATCCACTTAAGCCTGAAAACCTGATGGGAGAGGGTGCAGCCTTGCCTTGCTAGAGCGGTATCCAGAGATAAATCTGGCATCAGAAAGAATTCCTAAAAATCCTGTGAAACCTGCTTTGCTAAGAGTGCTTTCATTCTTATGATAAGGGTCTGAGTAGGAAATGAGTATGTCTCCCAAAGTTTCTGCAACCCCCTTCCTAAGAGACTGACTCAAACTAAGCCCTCAGATTTCTTTGAAATGTTATCTACTGTTTGATCCTTGCTGCCCTGAATTCCTGTGTATTACAACCTAATAAAAGCCCCTGGGGGAAGGGGCTTCTGGCCTTTTTTCCTCTGAGAAGCTGGCCACTGCTCCTCCCCAAGCAGATCATGTCTTGGTAGTGTTTATTTTCATCCGTGGCGAATGGGGGACTTGAGGGCAAAGTCACCCCCACAAGTGCTGCAATTCTGCAGCTCTCATCAACCTCCCATGTGATACTGATACTGTTAATCCATAGACTACCATTAAAGAAGCAAGGGTTTAAGCCATAAGTATTTTTATCTCAGTAAGTCCCCACATGTGGTTGTTCAGCTCAATGTTGACATCAAAGATACAGGCTCTGTTCATTTTTCTTTTTGGCTATAAGGCCTTTGTTCTTAGCCCATCAGTCTCAAGATAAGTTTTGTTACGGTAAGTAAGGACCTGTTTGCATGCAGGTCTTCCCGCAACAAGATCAGGACAGGACAGGGAAAGAAAGAAGGAAGGAGGGAAGGAAGGAGGGAAGGAGAGAAGGAGAGAAGGAGGGAAGGAAGGAAGGAGGGAAGGAGGGAAGGAGGGAAGGAGGGAAGGAGGGAAGGAGGGAAGGAGGGAAGGAAGGAAGGAGGGAAGGAGGGAGGGAGGGAGGGAGGGAGGGAGGGAGGGAGGAAGGAAGAAGGAAGGAAGGAAGGAAGGAAGGAAGGAAGGAAGGAAGGAAGGAAGGAAGGAAGGAAGGAAGGAAGGGCACTTTCTCAACTGTCGTCAGCTCTATAAAGAAAACTCTCTGGTACGTTTCTCCTCTAGTGTTACAAACCAGGTCTCAGTCACACAACCAAGCCCCAGCTGTAAGGATGGTTAGGAAAGCATCTGGCATTTTCAGTGTATTTCAGAGATGAATTCTGCTAGTAGGGAAGAAGGGACCCGTGAATGAAAACATTTGTCTCAATGTCAAACCTGATGAAGTGCAGTTCTGTGCTCCCTTAATTCCCTGAACATTTCCCTATAGCTACACTTACACATTCTGTATTTTGTCTGTCTTTGTTTTGGGGAGCTTTTCAATGTTCTTAAGAGTTGTGCAACTATCACCAGAGCACACAGTAGGCAATCAATCCAACTTGTTGAGTAAATAATTTGGTGATCACTTTCAGTTCCACTACTACTTTTATAAGGTATAATTTAAAGTTCAAAGTTACACAGCAGCGCGAACACTAGAACACAAATTCCCAAACTCTTAACCTATGCTTCTTCCAATAAATTGGTGGCTTTCAAACTTTACTCTCTCTCTCTCTCTTTTTTTTTTTTAGTTTTAGAGAGAGGGAAGGGAGGGAGAAAGAGAGGAAGGAAAACTCCACTGGTTGCCTTCCACATGCCCTTAACCAGGGACCTGGCCCACAACTTTGACTGGGAATCGAACTAGTGACCTTTTGGTTTACAGAATGATGTCCAATCCACTGAGCCACACCAGTAAGGGCTTGAACTCAAAACTCTTTAGCAGTGGACTTTCCCCCTCAAACAAATGCCTATCTACATGGTGGTATGCAGAAATTATCTTCTCAGAGCAAAATTTTAGACTTCTGGTGATTATTAAATAATTTTTATTATTGGTTCACGGAGGCAAATTCAAACCATTACACCCTGATAATTCCAAAGTACTTTTCCTAGTGGTTGATATTATCAGTGGCAAATAACTCAGACAGCGTACCTTAAATCGCCATTTCAGGATAAATACGTTTTCCTGCGTGCAATCTCATGTGCATCTTTGGAGATCTACGGCAGTGGTTCCAGTGGTGGCTGCACATTAGATGCATCCAGGGAACTTAAAAGGTTCTGATGGCCAAGTCCCAGCCCCAGAGATCCCGATTTAATTGGTCTGGTGTGCTGTAAGGGACATCTGCACTTTCACAAGTGCTCTAGGGCTCTAATGCACAGCAGCAAAGGTCAAGTACCACTGGATCATGTCATTCGCTTACTAAAAACAAAACCACATAGGCTATCGAATAGCTGCCTATGTCTTATTATAGGGGCCAATGGAATGTAAAGCATTACAAAAATCTAAAATATTTATTTTTGTAATCCTCATCTACATTCCATGGAGTTATGATTTATATCTAATTTTTCCTCATACATAAACTTTTGCTAATACTTACAAAATAAATCTCATCAGAAAAAAAAAAAACCCAAAAATTTCTAAGGGCTTATGAAAACTGTTCTGCGATACAGAATTTCGGTCTTTTTAACACAGCTCCAAAAGGGCTCTCCTGGCCTTCCTCATTATGATATTTTCTCTGCACAGAGACTTGTGTTGCGGAAGTAGTTAGCCTAAACACAGTATTGTAACAATACAAAAAAGTAATAACTTCATATTTCTTCATGGTTAGTTTAACACTAATAATACATATGAGAATGATCTTTTAATGTGTACATATAAAATCTAATTATAAAAATTAAAAATAAAGATGATTATTTTTGTAAGAAAGGATAAAATAGGAAGAACTTAAGTTTAGTGCGAAGAATACAAATTCTAAGGGGCTCTCTTCAAATTGACTGACAGACTTGAACAAACCCTTAACATATCTTAGCTGATTATCTGCACAAAGTGACAAGGTGATGTACACTTCATGTAGAAATCCAGGGTACCCAGAATGGCCAAATCATCTTGAAAAAGAAGAACAAAGTTGAAGAACTCACACTTCCCAATTCCAAAACTTAATAAAGCTACTATAATCAAGA